GAGCTCATCAAAAAGGAACCCATTGCTCTCCTTTGTTACTTGTTATTAAACTGTATTGCAGCATATCTTGGGAAAGGAGATGTTGTGCATGTACAGGCTTTTTTACCATTCCAAGGCCTCTGACATAAAGGACATGGTGCACATCGTCATTCAGTATTATCATGGTGACAAGACATCTGGAACTTATCACAATTAGTTTGTATAAAACACTTAATTTCATGTTATACAAATTGATTTACTATATTATGGTTTCTTTCCTTTTTTTATATATGTCTAACAAAACACAGCTGCGGCGTTTTTTTTGGGGGGGGGGGCTCCTGTTATTCTTATTTTCTTTAATTAAATGATTACTTACTGCAGAAAACAGATCCACAGTTTTCCATGTTTGGTGGTATTTAGCAGGGGAGAGGGGAACTTAGAAGAAAAGATCTTATCTTGTTTTCTTCCCATCTTTCACAGATTCTATGATTACTGCTGGGATAGCTCAGTCAGTAAAGCATGAGGCTCTTAATTTGGGGCAATAGATTCCTGCATTGCAGCAGGTTAGATGATCCCCGTGATCCCTTCCAACTCTACAATTCTAAGTAGATTTCTCTAAAATGAAGACTTCCTGGAAGGAGGATCTCAGGCTACATAAAGAAGTGCCCCAACAGGGGATGGCACTGGTGCTATTTGTAGCTACTGGGGGGGAAAAAAATCCTTCCTGTAGTACTTTTATATCTCACTTTCCATCATGGAATACAAAGCAGTGTAAACTGAGTTGAACTCACTTATGGAATTGAGCTCTGTTGCACAAAGCAGTCGGGAATCACTGACATGCATCCCACTTCTATATGCTTTTGTAGATGTGGCAGTGGTGCAGCAATTGCCATGCCACATTCCAAGTCCTTGTGTGCTGACCAATGAGGCCTCAGAGCAGATTCATCCAGTCACATACAACAACCCAGCCGGAAACTAATTGAACCTCCTAATTTTTCTGTGTGCTTAAGACCACAAAAACAGCTGATCAGCCGCAATACATTACCAGTTGGCCTGAGTTAAGGCATGAAAAATAAGCCATAGGGGGGGAAATTTGATACAACATATTGTAAAATCATACCATTTACTGAATTAATCTACTGGAATAATTTTATTTGACTCTCTGCCACTCACCCTCGAGGACAAGGGCTCAACTAAATAACTATGTTGGTCTTTATGTGCACGAGTAATTCCTTTCCCTAATAATGTGATTGATGGCTAATCATTCCTTTTAAAAACAACGGATTTTATGGTGCATTTAAGTGCCTGCTGAACAGTTCTGTTTTCCTTCCACACAATATATTTTAATTGGGAGCACTGCAGTGCAAAAATAAATGAATAATAATAATAATAAATCCCTACAGGATACTATGTACTGAAATCACAGCCGACAAAATCCTTTTGATGTATTAATGATGGATCTTCCCAATTCATGGCTTGTTACAAAGTGTAAAAACAACAGTCTCCTCAAAAAAACCCACACCTGAACATTTAAAGATTGAGCACAGTATCATGCACACAGGGAACTACTGGGCCGTATGCTGTAGCCACACTTGCACAACAGAACTTCCTCTCCCTCTCCCCTGCACACCCTCAAAATTGGGACCAGAAGATCCCACAACTCTCACTGCAGCAGTGGATGCTTTTCTCTGTCACTGCCCTTTCCTAGATCTAGTAACGTGTTTCGAGATTTTGAAAAAATGTAAAGTTTAATAACTTAAGCCAAGTCACTCACGTTCTCATGCAAACACAACGGCGTGCAGGGCCTGATGGTTGATGCTGTCAGCTTAGACCATGCCAGGCAGCTTTTGAGTGGGAAGAAGAGGGTCTGCATTTCATCTCTTGCCATCTTGAACAGGCACAAACAGCTCCGTAGGTTAGATGTAGGTTTCGTCCCTCATACTCTTGTGAACACAAGTATATTTCCAAATGTGGACTGCTCAAGAAGTGAAGGAAGTATACAATGTATATTATTATAATTCACATAAAAGAGAGAAAGTGTGTTTTCAAAAAATAGCAAATTCACTTGTACATCTTGTCAGTTCCAAGACGTACTCTCCAGTAAATCAATTAGGTTGGTAAGAATAAAATCTCACGAGGACCACCTAGTGAGGATAAGAAGCAACTGCATATAAGAGGACAGCATTTTCCAATGAACAGGAAAAAAATCACATAAAGATCTATCTCACAGGTTAGAGAACTGGACTGTTAGCTGATCAAAGAATTAGTTGGTTTATCATCAGCCTTGGAAAAGATTAATACTTTTACATTTACATCTGAATAAACGAAAGCTATCATTCAATATTTGAAAGAAAAGCAATACTTAACGTTGGCTGTTTGCTATTACAGTTAATGCATCAGAACTAAAATAGCCTCCAGCTTGAGGACAAAATCACCCACCTCCACCTAAACTCAAGAGCTGCTGTTGACACAGTAGCTGTTAAGATGCCCAATTTTGTCAGTTTGTAGGGTCAGTTTGTTTTGATTTCGGAGGATGAGGACAAGACGTTTGCACCTGTGCTGGGCACCGTGCTACATGCTCTCTCAACCTACTGCATGCTCATTCATGTCAGCCATGGAGGGTTGGTTGGGTGTATCCAGGGTGTAGGTAAGTTTTTGTTGCATTTCAAGTGATCACCACTGCCTTGAAGGTGTTGGTTTGGCTGCTCCTGAAAAATGCCAAAGCCAGAGGTTGATGCCAACTACTGCCCAGTCACAAATGCAACTTTTCTGGGCAAGGGGATAGTGGGGTTGTGGTTCAGCTGCAGATGCTTTTGGATAAAATTGATTGCCTTCACCCATTGTTGTCTAGGTTCAGGTCCAGTCTGGGGCTTGGTCACTCTTATGAATGGCATTCTTGGAGAGGAACAAGGGCAATGTGACCCTGTTGATTCTACAGAATATCTCAACGTGGTTTTTTTTATATAGAGAGAGAGAATTTGCCAAGGGTTTGGTTCAAGAGAGTAATATTGAATGACTGTATCTCAGCCCTTGACCCCACTTTGATATGCAGGGAATTACAATACATACTTTCCCCCCAATGCATATAATACGTATATAAACCACTGGGGATTGTAAAACGAAGACTGGGTGCAAGGTGAGCCCAATATGCTGACAACACACAACTGTATGTGTCTGCAAAATCTGAATCAGGAGCAGTCCTAAATCAGTTTCTGGGTGCAGTCCTGAGACCTAAAAAACTACAAATGAAGACGGAGACAAGGTAGGGAACATATGGATGGGCAGTTACCAGGTAACTGGGAGCAGGTACATAGATCTATCACTGTGGTCACTGTGATCTCAACAGCTTGGGGTACCCATTACCATTTCCATTTAGTGCGCCAACAACAACTGTTCCTAGACAGTGATAGCCCTGCCGCGGGAGTCCATATATTGCTAACCTCACAATGTAATGTGCTGTGTATGGGCTACTGTTTGGAAGCTGCACATAGTGCAAAGCATAGCTGCTAGGGTGCTTATTGGTACACCTGACTTTACACATATCACACCAGCGTTGAAGATACAAAGTGGATGCCTATTAGCTACCAAACAAAGTTCAAGGTTTTGTGGTGTACATTTACAATACAATCTGGGAGGGAGAAGGATATCTAGGAGACTGCCTCTGCCAGTACAGAGAAAGGTCTTTAATATTTAATATTTAATGCTGGCTGTTCTATGACCAGCAGAGTGTCATGTGTTAACACTGTGGAAGCAAGCCTTCTGTGTGATACCACACCTTTGAAATGCCCTCCCTTTAGTAATTTGTAAGGTAGAGATCCTAATGACCTTTAAATGCCTCTTAAAATCTTGTATGTTTACGCAAGCTTTCTTGGAGTCCAACTCTTAACGTGTGTGGGGGGGGGTCATGCACTGCTCAGCTGTTCATTTTTAGGAAATACTGTTTTCATGCAACCCACTTAAGAGATTTTGACAATATTAAGCAGTAGAATTTAAAAAAATAAATAACCCTAAATAAACACGGGAGAAGATATGGTTAAAATCTGCAATAGCAAATTCAGATTCTGTAAAATTCATTATGTGGAATATTTATATTCTATAGCAGTGGCTCCCAAGTAGCTACATACGTTGACTACCTGTTTTTCAAAAGCCAAGCCACAGACCCCCTACTTTTGGGAATTTTGATAAATCTATGGTAGTTTTTGCTATGTGAATGGTGCTTCCACGGAGCACCAACTGGGAACCTTTGTTCTATAGAACTGCAGTAAATGAGATGTATGTGGATTCCTTTTTATCACTGGCTCAAGGTGGTGGGAAAAGGGTAACGGTTTGCTTCTACTGATATTTTGCAGAATCTATTTTAATTTTCTAAAATGTACATTTTTGTAATTTTAAATATACATTCCCAAAACAGTTAAAGAACACATTTAGAAATGTTTGGGTTATAAGAAATTCCAGCTAGAAGCTAAGATAACTTGGATTAAACTTGCATGAACACCATCTAATTTCTCTTTAACTGCTACAGAATTTCTAATTACAGACTGCATTTTGCAATGCATACATATGATCTCTCCTATTTTCAATAGTAATATGAACTTATCCAAAGACCTAATTTCTTTGCTCATCATATGGGAAGTTTTTTTAAAAAGTACAGTTAATTCTTGGTTTAAGCAGGATTTAATCACAGCTAATTTTAAAGAATTGGCCCCATTCCAGCTAAATTAACTCATGACTAACTTAAGCTGGGCATTGTATTTTAGAAAAATCCCTCGATTATTGGAATTCCTTTTAGAACACAATTTCTTCTAAAAGCAAAACATCACTTAACATAAAAATACTTTATCTACATAAATTACAATAATGATAAATATCATTTTCATGTAAATTGTTTGCTCTCTATAATTACATCCAATCAACAAGTAGAAAGAAACCCCATTACAGAAATGATGGGTCACTCACATTACCAAAATGCAATACAAACATGTTGTCTCTTTTAACTTGTTGCATTTACATCATAAACCACGTTAGAAGTTTTTATCTTCTACCATAAAGAGTGACTGTAGTCCTTTGCGAACATTAAGCAATTCTTCTTCATGCTGTGAAAAAAAAGTCATTAAGTTAGGTTTTATTTCTTTTAAAATATTTTAACAAAAGAACTTTGTTTTAAAGTAATGTACAATGAAGATATAATTTTATTTTTACCATTTCCTTAAGGAATTTTTCTTGGAGCCCCTTCATGTCATCTTTCATTAGCTGCATCTAAAATAAAACCAAAAATTTGGTGTATTTTCACTTTTTAATTTCGACTAAAGCTGCAGAAGCTGAGTCTCCTTTGAGACTCTTGAGAGTCCCATGGACTGCAAGAAGATCAAACACATCCATTCTTAAGGAAATTAGCCCTGAGTGCTCACTGGAAGGACAGATCCTGAAGCTGAGGCTCCAATACTTTGGCCACCTCATGAGAAGAGAAGACTCCCTGGAAAAGACCCTGATGTTGGGAAAGATTGAGGACACAAGGAGAAGGGGACGACAGCGGATGAGATGGTTGGACAGTGTTCTCGAAGCTACAAACATGAGTTTGACCAAACTGTGGGAGGCAGTGGAAGACAGGAGTGCCTGGCGTGCTCTGGTCCATGGGGTCACGAAGAGTCGGACACGACTAAACGACTAACCAACAACAAAGCTGCAGAAAGCAAAGTCAAACCAAATGACTCTATAGTTTTTCTGAAATTCTTAGAGCTTCTGTGCTGAGACAGCACAGCTGGAAGATTGCCACTTGCCAGGCAACTAAGGCATCAGAAGTCCCAAGCCGTCTTCTTGCAGTTTCAAAATAGGTTCTCTCATTCTCCTTTGCCTTTCTGTGGCCCTCCATGCACATCAGTTAAACGATGAGTGGAGAACCTTTGGTCCCCCAGATGCTTTCTGGGACTCAGCAACACCTGGAGTGCCAGAGGTTCCCCACACCTAATATCAAACATCAGAATTAAACTAGAAAGCAAGCATCACTGTTAGCAAAGGTTTCCATAAGAAAATTACCCAGAAGAGGCCACCTACCATGTTTCACTATTGTGGGTGTCTGCAAGGCTAAGTTAGCTTGTCTGCTGACTGGTAGCAAGCAAGTGAATCATGCAGACCCAACACAGAGGTGGGTCATAATCTCTGCTGCAACTCTTTTTCAGAATGATACAGAACTCCAAACATGTGGTAGAACTGGGGCAGAATTATTTGCTGCCAGCAGAGATTCATTGAAAGGAAGCAAAGCCAAAGCCACAAGTCACACAGGGAGCTACTTTTGTGGATGCATATGCTGGTCTCACAAATGCCTTTAATTACTTAATGAGCCACGTACCAGTTGCACCCTTCTAAACAACAGGGGGAGGCAGATGTCAGTGCTCCTGCTCAACTGCACTATCTCTGGAAATATGAGAAGCAGGAGCCTGGGGAAGGTTTCATGTCGTAATAGCAGAGTAGGTGTTATAGGGGTGTTCCAGACATTATGTTTTTAACAGGTACTAGCAAAATTCAACACAACACATTCTTGGCAACTGTCTTGAAAGACAATGAAGTGCACTTCTGGGGGCAAAGTTGTGGCTGCAGAGAATGGTAACTTGTAACAACTGCCTCCTGTGTTGTTTTTGCTGTGTTAATAGCACTGAAGTGACCCCCCCCCCCCCGGTAAGCAAGCCCAGGCAATGTGTATGGAGGTCCTGGGCTGCCCAGATGACAAGATCTCTCTCAGCCTCGCTGATGTGGTCCAAAGGAAAGCAGAGCAATACATTTGGCACTAGCTTGGCTGCTGGCTTACAAGACACCATTCAACCATCTTAGGGACTCCACTCCAGGTTTATGCAGGCTTTATTCCTTTTCTCAAACATGTCCTGCAGGACAGTTTGTATGGATTTTTCCTTGGGGGGTCACTCCAGAAGTCTTTCTCACAGATAAGTATATCCACAAGGTAGCGGAGGTTTAGGATCAGAGTTTCCCTTCTCCTAGATGGGCAACCTTTCCAGTTTGACCATTTCCAGTCTGCCCATTTCCCTCTACAGCATGTTCAGAAACTGCCTTCTTGATCATTTGGCTCACTATTGATCTCGTCCACTCAATCCACTGTCTTCAAATGCAGGGAAGTCCCTAACTCAATGAGGGTTTGAGATGCATTGGCTTAGCTGGCCAGTCAAAACCATTTCCTGGGGTGTGGCCACTGTTGCATGCTGACAGCTTCTAGGAGCCACAGGTGAGGGCTTAACAAAACAACACATGTATACAGTGGTACCTTGGGTTAAGAACTTAATTCGTTCTGGAGGTCTGTTCTTAACCTGAAACTGTTCTTAACCTGAAGCACCACTTTAGCTAATGGGGCCTCCCGCTGCCACTGTGTGATTTCTGTTCTCATCCTGAAGCAAAGTTCTTAACCCAAGGTACTATTTCTGGGTTAGCGGAGTCTGTAACTTGAAGTGTATGTAACCCGAGATACCACTGTCAAGCAGGAGGAGGTAATATACATAACCAGGGAGCTGAGGCTGTCCTCAGCTACCTGTTGCATTTACTACCTGCAGAAAACACATGATTTATTCAGTCAACTCAGACTGCTGTACTGGTACACCAATTCTCAGGAAAGGTCTAGAATTCATATTTACGACATCACCCAATTAGCTACTATTGAAATTGGTCCTTGATTTATTTTACTTAATTCTATTTTTAAAAAATAGATTTAGGCCCCCTTTAAGGCAGCATATGAACCACTTTCTAAAAACAATGTAGACACAAGATTACTACTGGAAGGAGAACTCCACCATGAGAGGGCTTTTGTATTTTTCATATGTATTGAGTCTTGTTGGGTATATCTTTTGGGATGTTTATAGTCAGGCATTAAAAGCGGTACACTGTAACTGCTTCCCTTCTGTCAAGCAGGAGAAATTACATACCTCAGATGTAAAAATGCTTTCCTCAACGTCAGCAGTATGGTACATGTTCTTTTCGAATGAAGTTTTAAGATTCTGAAATCTAAGAGAATATAGATCAAAAGACCATTTAAGTATCTTTGCTTTGACACAGGGGAAAAACTTGTCCTCACAAGCACCATGTACTCCTGTGTAACATTAAAAGTAGTTGCAACAACAAAGATGCAGTGCGCTGTTGTGCTCCAATAATAAGAAAGCACACTAACCTCTGTTGCTCATTTTTCTTGTAAGTACTAAATGTTTCAAAATGCTTCTTTGAAAAGTTCTGCAAGTAAAATAAAATAAAAATCAGTATAAGAAATCCTTTTTTTCACATGTGAAACAAGCCTTGCTTTTTTTATTTATTTTGGCTCTTACTATTAAAATCTGTGTTTTAACACTATACTATGTTGCTAATTGTGGGGAGCAGGTGGCGCTGTGGGATAAACCACAGAGCCTAGGGCTTGCTGATCAGAAGGTTGGCGGTTCGAATCCGCATGACAGGGTGAGCTCCAGTTGTTCGGTCCCTGCTCCTGCCAACCTAGCAGTTCGAAAGCGTGTCAAAGTGCAAGTAAATAAATAGGTACCACTCCAGCGGGAATGTAAACGGCATTTCCGTGCGCTGCTCTGGTTCGCCAGAAGCGGCTTAGTCATGCTGGCCACATGACCCGGAAGCTGTCTGTGGACAAACGGCAGCTCTCTCGGCCTATAGAGCGAGATGAGCACGCAACCCCAGAGTCATCTGCAACTGGACCTAACGGTCAGGGGGTACCTTTACCTATACCTAAGACCTGGGGAAAGGCCTGTAATAAAGTGATAGCCTGCTGGTAGCAAATGTTCATTCACGAGCACTGAAAAGAATAAACTATTAGAATGTACGGTGACCATTCTATGAATGAAAAGAGGATCGGCTAGGCATGACAATTGTGATTAATCTCGAACTGTTTTTTAGACAGATGAAAGCAGATATTGGGAGACATTTAATGAATAGGAACATTAGTCAAAGTCTTAATAAAGACACTGACAAATTATTATATGTAATTACATAAAATCATCAAGAGGGTTGATCTGAAAGCTAAAAGATTTTGATTGGTTCTGGATGATGACATTGAGTGGCAAATGCTAAGATTGCTGCGATCCTTTAAGCAGTGAATGGAAATAATGTGTATAATCTGGAAGTGTGCAAGAGAAATTGCTTTGGCTGCGGTCCTTTGCAGCCTCCTAATCTTTGAGACTGTCCCTATGCTTATTTGTATTTCAATAAAGGGCTATCTTCTTACTTGGAGCCTGCATCTTTTTCTGTTAGGCTTCTGGGAGGTATACCTCCAGTCTAGGAACCCCCTTTAAATTTCTCCATGTTCATAAGTACTTTTAAATGCCCTACATTCAAATCACAGCAAGTAATTCAAGTAGTTTAATATTTCTGTGAGTAGAAACACCTACTGAGAAGTCTTTCTCCATATTTCTCAAAGCCTGTGAATCTTTTTCAAAACATTCAAGCTCTTTCATGAGACAGGAATGAAGATGTTCCAGCTGTTTGGTCCTGCAAAAATACAAAGAAAAAGAAAAATACACAATACATGCAACAGAACATTCATTTTTGAGCAATTATTCAATACACACCTGCACTTATGTAACTCACTACTCATTGCATCCAAATGCTGGTGAGTTGTTTTCAATGACTGCTTTGTAAAATTGTCCATTCTCTTTGAGCGGCTCTAAAAACAGAAGAGAAAACAAAAATTATGTCCTGTCAATTCCCACCCCTTCCATATAAGAACCACACACCATTCCTCCTGAAAGGTTTCCCAAAACGATGCTTTAAAAACCAGAACTCTGAAAAAAATATACTCCAGCTGCCATTTTAAAAGACTGCATGAAAGCAAAGTGACAGATTTATCCCCTGGAAGCATTTCATAAGCAATGACAAGCACATGGAAGGCTAGAATATTGTGTACTAGAACACAGACAATGAATTCTCTTTTCTCTCTTTACCCTGGCCTTTGACATCTGAGATATGCCTTTTCAGAGCCTATCCTACTCCTGTGATTCTAATCTGCATTAACTGTTTGAATTTTAAATTGTTGCAACCTGCTCAGTCACCTGCTGGTGAAGGGCAGGTAACAAATTTAGTAACAACAATTCTGCTTACCCTCTTTGGTGGGTGGCATGGCAGCATCCCACTGCACCCAGCCACCTCAGCCAGATCCCCAGGAAGCAGTTAGAAGCTCTCCCACTGGCCAGAGGAAAGGTAGAATTGAATCCAGTTGTAGATTGGCCAATAGCAGCTAGACCAAGAGGCGGGAACTCTGAGGGGCGGGCCTGACTGAGTCTGTCATAGGAATTCCCTCAAGGCTGCTCCCAGGGTATTTAAAGAGTGCAGCCTCCATGCCTGGCACTATGGTCTTTAGTTAAACTGCATCCTACCCACCATGGGGGGTAATACTATTATGAGCTTGCTATGGATTACGATCGGTTGCTGTATTCGGGGCTGGGGGGGGGGTTGTCCTTCAGGTCAATTGGCTGACCTGGGGGTTTCGCCTACCTCTTAGCAATTGTCACAACTTGGGCGGATAAGGCATTCAGTTAAGCCTTAGTTATTGGTTCAAAGGGATATTGTAAGCCTTCTGCCTACCCCATCAAGGGAATGGGGTATACTGTTAAAGGGATCCTGGAGGAGGTGCTCCTGTCAAGATGCCCATTCGGGGGCTAGGGCCACTGCACTCCTCAAAAGGCAGTCATCAACCTATTTAATGAATGTCATAGGGCTCCCTCACCAACGATTTACCCCTGAGGAGAATCAACCAACAGGCAGGATTTGGCCTGAGCTAAAGCCACTTACATATGCAATCAATAAAGCTGTGGCCGGATGGGAACCAAAACGATTGTTGTCACAAGTGGTCATTTAACACTGCTGCAGGGTGGTGGATCACAGTGCCTGGGCACACAACAATACAGTGGTGCCTCGCAAGACGAAATTAATCCGTTCCGCGAGTATCTTCATCTAGCGGTTTTTTCGTCTTGCGAAGCAACCCTATTAGCGCCTTAACGGATTAGCGCTATTAGCGGTTTAGCGGCTATTAAAGGCTTATCGACTTAGCGGATTAGCTGCTAAAAGGCTATTAAAGGCTTAGCGGCTTAGATAAAGGGGGGGGGGAAGCGAAAAAAAAAATCTCAAGACTCGCAAGACATTTTCGTCTTGCAAAGCAAGCCCATAGGGAAATTCGTCCTGCGAAGCAACTCAAAAACAGAAAACCCTTTCGTCTAGCAGGTTTTCCGTCTTGCGAGGCATTCGTCTTGCGGGGCACCACTGTAATGATATTTACAGAGGACTTCTTGGAGAGCAGGATAACTTCTGCTGCTATCTGGAATATCCTCATTTGTAATCAAAAGCAACCCACAAGTCTATATGTAACCTTCTTCTTAACAAGACTAAATATTCTACCAATAAAAGGTGTGCGATATTAGGGATAAATAAAAAAGACTCGCCTGTGTTTTCCTGGCAAACTCCTTGCAAACCTTCTGACACATCATCCCTACACTTGAACTGTCAGCACCCCAGATTTCTCCATCAAATGTAGACGCATCATTGATGGACAAAGGAGACATGCTCTCAGAAACTAAAAAATAAAAAAGATTTATGTATCATGATTCAGATGCCATTTATTATATACTCCTATCACTATGGATGCACTTCCTAAGATATATGGTGCTTATTCAAATAACTTCAATGACTGCCCCTCCCCATATGAACTGATTTAGACCCTGCAATCATAATCTGAGGCCCTTCTATGTGTGTCCACTCCATGAGAGGTCTGGAGGGTGGCAACATGAAGATGGGCCTTTTCTGCAGTGATTCCTCATTTGTAGACTGCTCTCCCCTGGGAGGCTCACCTGACGCATTCATTGCATATTTTCAGGCATCAGGCAAAAACTTTCCTCTATAACCAGGCCTTTGGCTTTTAACCACCTGTGGCCTTTCAGATGTGGATCTTTCTTAATGTATTTGCTTTCTCCTTTGGTTATAATGTATCTATGTGGGTATTTTTGTTTGTGTGGTTGGTTGTAAGTTTCTTTGGGCTGCCCTGGGCAAAATAAAGTGACTAACAAAATAAGTAAATAAATAAAATCTTAACTAACAGCAACCTAAACACTGTTTCACACACAGCAATTTATTGGTATACACATATTCGGTATATGATAAAGTGTAAAGATCGTGCAAATGTTAGATTGTTACATTGTTAGAAATGTTACATTAATGACCTCAATGCATGGTGCCATACATATCAATCCAAGACCTGATCAAGCCCAGACCTGCTTAGCTTCAATGTTACCCTAAGCCAATTTTGTTAACATATCCCCATTTTGGAAACATATTGCCAATCGTGACTTTCCAACATACGTATGAATTAGATGGGTATGTTACCATCACACATAGCAGCAAGTTTTCCCCCTTATATTCATACAGAAAAACAATCATATGAAAGGCATCCAATAGAGCCCGTTTAGAAGTTCAAAGAAGTAGAGGGAAAAAAGCTAATACTGCTATGCAACAAAATTTGCTGGGAAATTCAAATGATCAATTTGTATTTGCAGAAGATGTTGTTCCGCCTTTCATCATAAGGTGGCACTGTATATCAGAAGCATTTGACAAAGACTTAGACTTCTAATTCTAAAGTATTCCTCTTGCAAGAAGAGGAGTGTGTGTTTGATGAAACTGACTTTTGCAACAATTCTTTAATCTTGCAGTAAACCAATCTTAGGTTTTCGTTTTGAATTGTAACCATTCACTATGTATTACGATAACCACAGCTGTGAGTGTAATCTATGTATCTCACATGATGCTATGATGTAAAAATGCAAAATTACAAGGGTATTTTGAAAATATATATTAAGAACACATGCACTGCAACAGCGATGGTCAGAGCAAGATAGAGTTACAAGCACCTATATAGTTTCTGACACTCCCTGTCAAATAAGGAGGAGGCACTTAATTCACAGTAAGTTTCTTCCCTATTAACAGAGACTTCCAGTTGAGATTCCATAACTACTTTACGAATACCCAAGGCCTTAGAACTTCAGGTGCCCCCCCCTCTATTTCAACTGAATAAAACTGCTTTAGAAACTCTGCCCAGTTTCAGAAGCCATATAGCTGGGTGTGTGGGAGAAATATATGTTCAGAGCCTCCTTGAGCTAATAACTAGTTCAGTGGTTCTTCAGAGCCCAACTTTTATTATTTTACTTAAATGCCTTTTAATATTACAGATGAAATGACTGAGATGGGAAAGTTGAGATGTGTGTACATTTTACACCATTTCAAAGAGCAACTTCAGTTCCAGCTGACCTTTACAAGTGCTATTATCTGCTTTAAATAACTTCCTAGGGAGCAGCTTTCTTTTTCTTCCCTCTCTTTTAACTCCTTCTTCATCAGAATCACTTTCAGTATCCTCCTGGTACAATCGTTTGAAATTAGTATGTATTGTAGGTCCTAAGACAATATTTAAACAAATGTTATAAACCACAGCAATAAAATACAGCATTATATAGTTGTGCTCAATTCAATACCTAAACAGCATGTAAGGGTGTGCATATCACAAGACACAGAAGTGCTACATAATTTATTTCTGCAGTTCCTTGGAGCTCAAAAAGTTCATTATATTTAGTTTGCCATGAGAAAGGGGGCATATAGCAGTATTCTGACAAGAAAGAAAGTGCCCTCGGGAATAATGTAATGATTTGCAATCATCCACTTAGAAACTTAGCGAGCCCCAATTTTCAAACAATATGCAGCTACTTGTTTTCTCAGACCATGTAAAATAGACAGCAAGAAATTAAAGACTTTCCATTGTCTATATAGCAAACTACAGATCTGCTGTTTGTCTTTTTTTTCCAGAAAGCAAAATTTACAAACCAGATTTCTGTGTGTTAGTAAGAGGTTCCGCATGCCATAGTTCTTCCTCACTTTTGCTAGGTGTGGATAATTGAGATGGAGATACAGAACCCTAAAAATAGTTGCATAATGTTAACCAAATGTTAAACCAATTTGTAAGATTACCTTAGATTAAGCTAACATGTGAATATTTAACAGACAACATAAATGAAAAATTGCCAAAAATACAGTTGCTCCAATACTTTAAAATTAATTTTCAACAGTTACACTAATGTGCTTTAGAAACATATGGCATAATCCAGCTACAGTTAAGCACTTTTAAATTCTATAAAATGCTTAAATATCTCTCATTGAAATAACTGGAACTAAAAAATGTTGGCTGGATTGTGTCCTGTGAGGCCCTGCTCAGATCCCCTTGTATTCAATAGGGCTCACTCCCTAGCAATTGTGTTTTGAATTTCAGTCCAAATGTAGCTTTAAAAAGTATGGTATGTAGAAATAAATGTTTGCTGGGCTTATAAATTTCAAAGGCAAATAGCAAACAGTTTGTGCCTTTCATAAAAACAGGGGAAAATGTAGTATAGTATTTAGAATTTGCATTGGCCTATTCTTTTTGACTGTTTCCACAACAAAATGTTCAATCTGAAACAATGAAGAAATGTATTTTCAAAAAAACAATAACTACAAGAATAAAAGAACAGTAACTACAAGAACAATAACTATAACAATAACAGCAAAAGAGAACTATTTCGCCACCAAACGCAACAATTGCATTGGATATCATGTACCTCTTTCCCATTTTTCACAAGGTTTTCAGAAAGATCTTTCAGTTCTATATCAGATGATCTGTTTAAAGAGTAATTTTGCATGCTAATTGCTTCAAGAGTGCCATATTTGTCTGCTACATCTGCTTTTTGGACACTGGTGCCTTTTCTTTTTGTAGTGGAGGGACTAAGGTTCAGCTACAAAGAAAAATGGTTTTTGGTAAATGACTCTAAGGAAAAATACACATGCAGATTTTTCCAATGTGTAAGATCACTGAAGGTTGCAACCTTCAGAAAACTGTTAACCGAGAAGCTTGGTTCAGTCAGAATTTTGTACATGCCTTGGAACTATATTTTGAATGGCTCTGAGCAATGAGTGCAGTATTATTTGAAGTAACATAGAAGGCAACATTGGTTTAAGCGGACTTTATCTCATAGTGTCAGCTGTGACTAGAAAGGATAGTACAGAACCTTTGTTGTATCTTATGCAAGCATACATATATTCAGCCCTGGGGCCTTCCTCCAGTAAGTATATTCCACCAATAACTAGATTACATCTAAATTTGCATTTCCTGGGAAAGTGCCACCTCCCTTCATCATGAGAGACACCTCAATAACCTCATGCTGTTTTTTTGATTGTCCAGAGACCTCCTTCCTGGTCACTGACCGTATTAAAGATATTTGATTTGTCCAGAGACCTCTTGAGACCTTCCTGTCACTCTGCAGTGGGAAAGTTGTATTGATATGTCTGGTAATGACTCAGTACTTGGAAATAATTAACACTCAATATTGCTTCTGTCTAGAACTGTCTTTAAGCCTGACAGGAAGCTTCTTTCCTGTAAATGCGTATCTTGCTGATGCCCAAACTGTTCAGCCTTTTGCCCAGAATAAAGCTCTACTCTGCTCTGTTTCAAACTTGCTCCAATGGATGCTAGTAGGAGACTCCTTCAACTTTGGCTAGATTTCTTATCCTTGCCTTCCTGCTCCTCAACCAAATGTGCTATTTTATTTGGAATTAGTCAGGCCCCTTGTGGGAAGCTCAAGCCAATTATTCCAATAGGAAAGCTTTTTCTAATTCTGGAACTGTATCAGGCGGGTTCTTATCAGTCTTCCCATCCTAACTTAAGCAGGTTGAGAGCCTTCTAAGAGAGCACAGGAACTTTACTTTGCAAGCTTAATGTAACTGTAAATACCCCAAGACAAATCAAATGAATTGATGCCAGGAACCCTGGACTCAGTTGTTCAAGAAACGATGTCTCCTTAACTCTTCCTTCCCTGGGATGTAATTATTAAGGTCACAGGACATGTAATATGGGTTTGGGTAGTCTGTGCAACTTGTAACAACTGTCTTGCTTCTTTACATATCTGTATTGGTACTTCAAGCAGCAAAGCCATTTTACTTATCACTTGCCACTTGTAGCTACATCTTTGTTTTCTTGATAATTCCACTAATTAAGATAGACTGTGTTGGCATTTCTAAATTGATAGTTGCATAGTGCAATAACCACTGTGGTGTGCGACTGTCTCCAGATAAAAATAACTCAAAGTTGTGCCTCCATTAACATGTGGTAGATGAGGGTCCACATGTATGTGTGAACAGACTTATGAGCAAATTCAGTAGTAGGCAGGGGGTAAGCCCACTGAACTCAATGCGGCTTACCTGACCAAATATGCTTACAACTATGCTGCAAGTATATATGGAAAATCAGATTAATCAAATAAAAAAATGAAAACACCATAGGAAAAAAATCACTCCCTTCCTTATATACATATACACAATATACATATATTGTGACCACACAATATACATATATTGTGACCACTAGAAGGAGAAATGAGATTATAGGCTTTTCTATACTGTATGTTACATCATTTGTATTTTAGCAAAGGCAAAGTAAAGACAGCTGTAGTAACCTGCTTTGTCTAATTACTAGGGTATTTTTTGCTGTGAACCACCTTGAAATCTATGAATGAAGGACAAAATACAAATATAATGAATAGGAAGAATAAGAAGGTTGTAATCCTACACACATGACATTGGGAGTTAGCACCACTGAAGTCAATGGGAGTTACTTCCTAGCAAATATGCATAGGTATGGCCTCTACATATCAAACTAATAGTTTTTAATATAATATCTGAATTAAGGTAATTCTTTTTAAAAATACTCCATATTTACCGAAGGAACTGGACTTAAAACAGGTGACAAGTCTTCAGATTCAAACATCTGTGTTTGGTCCTTTTCAGGAAGCTGCATTAACTTATCCATTTTCACTAAAGCAGACACATTTTTGATATTGCTCAAGGATTCTTCCTTTTCAGGTGTGTGAAGCAAGGATGACAAAGATGACCTTCTCTCTGAAATATGATCAGTAGATTCCTCCCTTGTTCCCTTCTGCCAGCCTAAACAAATAATAAAGGCATAATTCAACATATTGGTTTGTTCACACACAGCATCTGACCACTGAACACTTAAGAATGTGCTTGTGCAAGTCTCAGGCTGTGAACTCTCCTCCCCAACCTCAACCCCCATTCTAAATTTCAACTGCATATTCATTTTACATTCTACTACAAACTCATGAGGGAAGGGAAGCTATGGCATGATGAATATATGAAGCTATCTAACACACAAAGCAACCACTCCATTCCTCTAGTCTAGCCTATTTTATCTTCTAGCAGGCAGCAACTCTCCTGAGGCTCAGTCAGGGATCTTTCCCAGTCCTCTTTTGAACTGGAGATTTCTGCGATCTCAAGCATGTAAAATGTGTTCTTTCATTGTACAGAAACACAGCAAGCAATCTTATAACACTGAATACCATTAGTCCATCTGGTTCATATGTTAAACCATATTTTAAAATAAAACACTTTCTAATCCAAACAAGCAGCATGATAGTGTGTGATGTTCAGTAAGTATCTGATTTACTTCTCTCCCATCCCTGCCTTTGCCATGCTGGGAGGAAACAAACTAGAGCACTGGGTTACTGCTGCATGTGAACCACTCTTTTGATTTGTTTCTTTCCAAACAAGCCACAAGTGGAATCAATTACTGCTTGTGGCATGTTTAGGTGCAACAAACAATGAGTGATGGCTTGCTCATAATGCTAAGCCAGTACTTTGGATACTTTCTTCCAGTGCGACAGAAGCAGGGGAAGAGAAAAGTGGACACTGCTGAGCAGTGTGCACCAATACTCTGCTTCTGCATCTAAGGCAAGCCACTGACTGGTAGTGACTGTCTAGGGTTTAAGACAGATGTCTTTTCCAACACTACCTAAAGATGACTAGGACTGAATCCAGACTCTTTTTTAATGTAAAGCATGTGCTCTGTCAATGAGCTATGTTCATTTGCCACGCAACTATCACCCCGTCCAGTGATGACACATTACATTCCTTGACACAGAATTCTTTTCTTGCAGTTTTCTAATTGTTTTCTCCCAGAGTTTTTACTCACCAATTACACTTTTCATCAGAAAAGCACAATGACTTACCTAGACTGTCAGTAACAGAGTGAGTGAATTTGTTATATCCTGCTGCTCTCTTAATTTATCAGATCTAACTTCTTTAAGTCTGGCAATTCAGAGGTAGCAGGAAAGAAACAGTAAAGAAAGTACAGTACTATAAAAATCTAGAATTATTTGAGTCTAACAGATACCCAGTAGCTTTTGGAGGGTAGCCTGTGTTGCGTAGGTACCAATAAAATATCATTTCCCCTTCAGCATAAATCATAGGTTTTCAGCAGCTCTCAATTATTCTTAGAAAGTCTGCCCCCACCGCCAGCCTACAGAAATTGATTGTTTTCTCTGAAGTGGTAGGCAGGACTGCTTCTAGAAGAGGAACATCAAGCCATGTTCTCCAAATTAAGGCATCTAACAAGAGCTATTAATAGGTGTCTATCCATCCAGTGAATAGTTTCCTGATGGTGCCTCAGCTGCAGAATCACAGTGTTAAGAGATGTATGGCAACAAAAATCGCAAAAAAACTTGCTGGGTTTCACTGTTACAGTTTAATTTTAGTTATCCCAAAACTGTTAAATATTGCGTGTTATAAATGACTGTTAGGGGTTTTTTTGGTATTTTATGATTATATAATTTTATAATGTTTTGATGCTTTGTTGTACCAGTATGCATGTATTTAAGTTTCAGTATTTACTCAGTATTACACACAATAACAAATATACAAGTAAAAATATAAAACTTACCTCTCAGTGTCTCAAAAGAAGGTAGGCTCTCAGACGAAGACAGTGGTGATAACTCCATTTGTTGTTTCGGCACATTATCTTTTGATTTAGTGGACTTTTTTACTTGCTGTACCTGTTTTATTTTGGTCACCTCACTGGAAGCAACACACTGTTGTACCTTTGGTTGATCGACAGCTTTGTTTTTCATACTTTTGTGTTCTGGCTGGAAATACCAAAAAAATAATATCTGACACATTTCACTAGATACTAAGCACACTGGAGATTTTATGCTGGAAACAAAATTAATAATTAAAATATTAATTCAAAAATATTGGGCCGGATTCACTTAATGAGCCTCATCAGTGGAAGCCCTGGAAAAAGACTTCCACTTGTACAATGGGCTTTTCCATCCTTCCCCCCAAAAACTGATTTGGTGGGGGGGGGTGTCAAAAGAAACCTCCAGAACAGCACACAGGGCAAGAAGAAGGGGGGAATAATTCTATCTGGCAAACTTAAAGGCTTGCACTGATGGAAAACACATCACGGAGTGACATGGAATTCCACTCAGTGTTTTAACATTAGACAAAGTAGGAATCCAAGAGTGTAACTGTATTTCTATCATGCTATGTTTGCCCTAGTATTTTTCCTGTAGCATTTCAATTTCTCCTTCTTTAACCTGGTACTGTACTAATATTCACACATTTCTCTGCTTTTTATGTTTCCCTTCTCCTGGAACTACAATCTATCATGGGCATTTATTTGGTGCTTAAAACGACAATAAATTTGTACAATTACAAATTCAGAGTGCTAGGTAGAAATGGGATCCTTACCCTCTGCTAAAAAAATGTTTTCTATTATTATATTATTACAGCTTAATTGTTTAAGATCAGTTAAGGGCATTTCAATATATTTACAATTATTTTTAATTTACTAGGGAGTCTTTAAAATGCAAACTCTAACAGAATCTAAAATAATTTATAACGCTGCACAAAAAACTACAACTTACACGTTCTTTTAAAATGTCTTTCTTAGTTAAGTGTACTGATTCCTCTTCACTTTCAGTTGATGAATCTGAGAGTTCTTTATAACGTTTTTTGGCTAGTGCTGCTTTTCTGGGTTGTCTTGATCTGGTTGGTGCTGCTTTTCCCACAGCATCATTATCACATTGATTGGTAGAAACTGGTACCTTTATTTATTCCAACAAAGTACGAACATGTTAGTGATGATTTATTAATTATCTGGCCAATGAGCACATTCAGAATTTTGAGGAAGTGACATGGGGGCCAACCACAAAATGTGAGGTCTGTGGAGGGCATGGAATAACACAAAATGGCTCCCATATCTAAAACAGTCTTTGGCATGTCGCTAGTAGCAGGAAAGTATAACAGAAGTAATGGGAAAAGGGGCAGGAAAGGCTAAGGTGAACACAAGCAAAGAAAACTAAATCCTTGCTTCTACCCCTTTTTAATGGAGGAGAAAACAGGCAAATCAATGCGTGGAATTCATTGAACAGAAAAGACTGGCAAATCTTGAGTAAAGATAACAGGCCAGAATAGGAGTTCAAAGAAATTATAGGTCTGCTTCAAGCAAGGCAGAAAAAATGAAATGAAAAATGGCCAAACAGCTCCTCCTTATATTGCACAGCTAACTGAATCGACTTTGCTTATGTGATAAGATTATTTATATGTCTTGTCATATGCAGTGACTCAGTATTAATGCTTCTAAGATATACAGTTTGAAAGTTTTTTTTTTAAAAAATAGTATTTATTGACAGTTTGAAAGTTTTATCATACCTTATCATTTATGGTTTTCTTCTGTTGAGGTATTTTCCCCACGCTTGGTGATACAGAATATATATCTAAAACAAAACAAAACAAAACCTTACAACATCAAGTGCAAAAGAACTTCATTTAGGCCAATTATATTCTGCTTCACTACTCAGAACAAATTTTAAAATCTTTGATTCATATGTCATTAAACATGCCCTAGATCCCCTCAATGTAGGTACATATAGTCATTTAAAATGTGAAATCAGAGTACCATTAATGAACAGGAACTCTAACCTGTCATTCCTGATCTACAAAGTTTGTTCCAGTGGAGTATATTAAACAGTAAGCTTTATACTATTTTCATATTTTACCCAATCAAGAAACAGCAAAATATCACTAGTACGTCCTCCCCGCCGCTAAATCTGTCAAGGAAAAATATAATATCCAATGCTAGAAATTCATCTGACATGTTTTAAGTATACTACACTGAAAGTCTACAAGACAGCAAAATAGTAAGACATTTACTATCATAGAACGAAGTGAAGATCGTTACAGCTATAAAATTTGTAATATATAGATTGCGTACTTGTATCCAGAGTTTTAGACTTCTGTTTTCTGGGTCTGCTATAGTCAACCAGCTGCAGTTTAGGTTTTCTATTTGATTCTCTTAGCCAGCTAATATCTGTCCTGTCATCTCTATATTCTGTATCTGTGTCACTGAAAATGTGCTTCTTGTTTTTATTAGTTCTGTTCTATAAAATAAGAAAACACTGATAAACCATTTACTGACATTAAATTTGCAGGAGCCTTTCCAGCTAAATTACTTATGACTGAGTCCTTAAACAAGTCAAACACTGAAGACAACCAAAACCAATGAAACTAGTTTGCCATGACTGATTTAAGCCCAGTGGTTGTCAAAATAGCCAATTATGATCCTGGGTAAAATTATTTCCCAACTGTCAACGAGTAGCTAAACCTGGGTCCATAGCACTCTCATCATAACTTAACACAGCTTAGCTAACACCATATTATAGCAGAAAAGGTGGGTAGGGCTAAGAAAGTTGGAAATACAAGGGCTCCCCCCTTGGCAAATCCTCATTTCTTTTATGACAGACCAGAGGGATGAAGCTCCCTCTCAGGTCTGCCCAAGTTAATTCTACCCCTTCTCTCCAATTAGCTTTTTTGATTGGCTAACAGAAGAACAGAGTGGCTGCTTTGCTCCATGCTAGGCAGCCATTCATTGCAGCTGCAGCCCCTTCCTCCTCCACTTCCAGCACACAGAAAGGCTCCCCATGCAAGAAATCTGGATTTGTGAGTATATTAATCTATGGATTACATTCATGATTTGTAGATGGCTTTTTGCACCCCTTATATAATATATTTACTGAACAAACTGTTTTAAATATTGGGGACTTTTAATTCTTCTTTTGTATTCCTGGTCTTTAAATACCTTCTTATCTTGCTTCTTTTGGATTATAATTTCCTCTTTATTTCCATGGTTCCTGAAACGAATATAAAGTAAATCATGTAAAAATTATAGGTACTCTATTTGGATTAATTTGTTTTTTGACTACTTGAATGTCTGGAAAATCTTATCAAGATACAACAGGTACCCACTATCTACACTTCTGGAAACAACTGAATATATTTTTGTTCCAACCAGCTTTCTCAGGTGGATAAATGGGTCTTTGCTACAAGTGTCTGTTTTAGTTTTGTTTCAGATTTATGGGCTTTTTATATTTTTACCTATATTTTTGCTGTTTTATCATACATTGTCTTGAGATGGTTGTGTAAAACACGGTCATACCTCTAGCTGCGTTAGGTTCATGTTGCGGATTTTTGGGTTGCGAATGCGGCAAACCCAGAAGTGTATACTTCCGGATTTCGCCGCGCACGCCTGAGCGCTCTGCGCACATGTGCAGGAGCGCTCTATTGTGTCACATGCAGAAGTGGGGCTCTACTTACGGATTTTTCGGGGTGCGAATGGCACCCCGGAACGGATCGCGCCCGTAAGAAGAGGTACCACTGTAGTAATCAAATCAAAATATATGTACTTATACTTTTATTATCATAAGGTGCGTTAAAAGGAATTTGGGTCTAATGATCCACATATGCTTACTTTTTCTTTGGAACATCAGTACTAGCTTCCAGTTTGGTAAGATGAAATTCTTGGATCTAAAATGTAAATACCAAAAGACATAAATCAAACAGAAATAAATCAAATCTCACTGCAACTTTTTTCCCCTGGTTCGCCTATTTTTGATGGTTATATCACCCAAGCAATCAAGTATTTTTATTTCCTTTTTGTAATGAAATTTACAAAAACAGACTATATCCTTCTGCAAAAGACTCTAGAGACTTAGTAAAAATTACTGAAACAGCATAGGAAATACTACAATTGTTTTTCCATATCCTCCATTAATCCAGTCTATTTTGTATATAGCTGTAGCAATGCATAGGGTTAGATACTGATAAGCCCCTTCGAAATAAACACTGTTTACATGCTTCCAAATCTCATTATGAAACTCTGAAGTATCAAATATCCCTATTAAAATGTTAGAGGCATGGAAAATATAATCAGCTCCTTTCAATTTCATATATCCTTATAATATTATGGGTATCTGAGGGAATCACGTTTTCCATACAAATCATGCTGCCCTTTGAATAAAGCATGAGGTGAGCTGCTTCGTGCAGCCTGCATTCCACCCATTATAACTGCCATATACACATATTTCATTTGCCATTATTGCTCTACTGCTGGAGTTACTCTGCCACAGGAGATCCTTGCAACATTCATGTTGTTTTAGGTGGCAATAGGAACACATCGCTTTCTCTGGGCTTCTAGTGACTCTCATTTGGAAGCAGTGAGCAGGTGGATAGACAATGACAGGCTATGGTGTTTGGACTATCAGTTTCAATGCAATCCTTTTATTTCAGTGAGTGATTTTATGTTATTCCATCTATGTTTATCTTTGTGTGCAAAATCTCTTCCACAGTTACCTATGATGCAGATGGGAATCTGAATGCAGAGCTAGCAGGATGAACTCTTTGATGTATTTGATGCACCTAAATCTGAGTGCCCTGCTTGTTGATTAGTTGTCTGTGGCTTGAACTGGATTAATGTATTATCATTAATTTTTTTTAAAAATCATTATCACCAAAGAAGCATGCTGAATAAAATGTTTTTTAAAAAATATGCCAAACGGTATATCATTTATACTATGTAAAGAAAGTGAAAGTGGGCCAAGAATATGTTAAAATGGTGTTATAATTATTTATTTACCTAAGCAATCATTCATTTACATTAAGTGCAGTTTGTTTCCTCTAAATTTCTCCCAGTTTGGGGGTATGCCTGGAGCTGGAGCCAGAAAATTTCAAAGGCACATGGTGGCAAAAAAATATAATAATGAAGTGCACAATTCAAAACTGTGCTGTTGCAGGGGATACAATTAGGAGGTACCCTTCTGTCAACGGTGGGGCTTTGCCACTATGGGGGCCTCACTGTTCCTGTTGTAAGCATGGGTGTCCTGGGAAACTGTTGCTGCTGGCAGTAGTTAGTGGAGGGCTGCAAAACAGGGTGTTACAGAGGCAGCGCAGGGCCAGCTATGGATCCAGCATGAAGATATAGCATAAGGTTAAGGATGTTGCATTGAATCTGTCACTCTGCGCTTCCCACCATTAGGACTGCTCTTCCCATTATAACGGTACTCCCAAATTGACTGCCTTATGTGGGCTGCTATACCCTAACTAATGTAGAGCTGTCCCTAATGTGACTGTGCAGGTGATCATCTGTTTATAATTAAAGGTAAAGGTAAAGGGGCCCCCTGACCATTAGGTCCAGTTGCGGATGACTCTGGGGTTGTGGCGCTCGTTTTGCTTTACTGGCTGAGGGAGCCGGCATACAGCTTCCGGGTCATGTGACCAGAATGACTAAGCCACTTCTGGTGAACCAGAGCAGGGCACGGAAACGCCGTTTACCTTCATGCAAGAGCAGTACCTATTTTCTACTTGCACTTTGACGTGCTTTCGAACTGCTAGGTTGGCAGGAGCGGGGACCGAGCAACAGGAGCTCACCCCGTTGCAGGGATTCGAACCGCCGACCTTCTGATCGACAAGACCTAGGCTCTGTGGTTTATAATTAGTAACACATTATTTGCTACAATACTAATCTTACTCCAAGTTTTACTGTAGGTTCATCAGATCCACTCAGATTAAAGTTGTAGACATCGTCCCTATCAAAAGAGATAAAACTCTGTTCAGTATACTCTTCATAATCTAAATTATTGTACTTGAATGAGATGGCGCTTTACTTACATAAGGTGCCCAGTAGTTACGTTTAGCAAAGTAGTAGTTTTTAAACTTCTAGAACTTCTGCTCTGACTTTTTTTCTAGGCATAAAAGAAGAGTTAGCAAAAAAACTGTATAGTGGCATTAATACTCCTCCTCAACTCATGCAGTCCTCTTTTACTTCAACAAGACTTATTTAATTATATGAATATTTAAAAGTTGCTTTTTGGCCTCATAAGGTGCCCCCAAATAGGTTCAAATCCTAAAGATGAAATATCACTGAGGATATCAGTAATTATTAATAAGTGGTTGAGTCAAACATTAAATTTACTATATCAATGTATTTTTATTCTTACATATTGAAACAACTGTAGAACAAAATTTTAATATACCTCTTTGTATAGAAAAACAACATACCTTGCAAACACTGAAACCTGATTTATTTAAAGATGTGCTGTAAAAATAAGTAAAAATAATATAATAAATCTATTTCATACCAGAAAATTCATTAGTAAAAAACATTTGCTTTAATGCCATGTTTTAGGGGAATTAGGTAATATAGAAATTAAAGCAAGATCAGTAAAATGTTGTAATTCTAAATAAATTACTAGCCTGCAAGTAACTACTATAAAAAGAAAGTATGTATAGAATACCTCCTGTTAGCAAAGAACTGGCACAATTTTCTTGTACTTTTTGCACCATCCATTCCTTTGTATCGGTTGCTGATTTTACTTAGTAACATTTCTGTAGTTTTCATCATTTCTTTTTGTTTTGCTTTCTGTAAGATTTTGAAAATAATTTGTTAAATTTACCAGAAAATCTGATTAGTAAAATAGTACAGCTTCTACAGCACCGTTCAGAAAGTCAAAGGTTTCTGTATACTAGTAGGAAAATGAAGAACATTCATGCAACATGCAGGAAATCTCTGCTCCACTAAAGCCATTTGCAGTTATGATATTATCAGCAGTAAGGAGATAAGTGTGCATAAAGCTGAGCAAAAATGGTTTGGGAGTTATTTACTGGAGTTTATCAGCTGGATGAACAAGAAAGCTTTTGAATGGAATCTTTCCAAAACCTTTTTTTAAACAAAATCCAGCAAACAAACAAGCTTCTCCCCCATTTACATTAGTTCTCTGTAGAATTACAGGGTATGTCTCTTCCTACATTTTATTTTGTAGATCAGGGCTGGAATCAGAGTCAAGGATGGTGGAACTGTAGCCCAACAATATCTAGAGGGCACCATGTTCACTATCCCTGCTGCAGACAGTCTCCATTAAGTGACAATAATTTTAAACACGGGTTTAGGTACCAGGGCACTTGTAAATGCAGTCAACTTTAACGATAACATTTATGAAGCACTTACCAATTTTAAGGAAAAATATATTTTGAAAGTGATAACGTTTAGCAGTTCACAACCTCTTTGAAATAATATTTTAACCTAAATAGATTTTATGATATCTGTATGTCATGGTTTGGTTGAACACAGAGGAGTGGTGGGAGAAACTAGCTGGGGAACCCAGTCCAGAGTGGTGGTTGGACAACTATGACACAGGGAGAAGAGGGAGAAGAATGGGAAGAAGAGGTGTCAAAAGTTGAAGGGTAACAGGACTCTGAGTTGGGAGTTGTGGCAGACAGACGTCATGAATCAAAGGCAGAAGCTAAAGCAGACAAGTGGGAAGAGGGAGGTTCAGAGGCAGAGATGAGAGTAATGGGTATCTCCACCCCTCTGCTGCAATAAACTCCCCTTCCCCCTGGAACCAGAAGAGGTATGAAACGGGAAGAGCAAAGGCATCTGAGGGCAGCCCTGTTTTAAATGGGTGACGTTTTACTGTGTTTTTAATATTTTGTTGAGAGCTGCCCAGAGTGGCTGGTGCAACCCAGTCAGATGGGTGGCATATAATTATTATCATCATCATCATCATTTACTCAAGGCAGGCTGCACAGAGGTGCAGTCTCTGATTGCTTGCAAGAAGCCCTGGAGGAGAAACGGATGGCTGTAGGCAGGCGGGACTTTTAGTCTCAGCAGCTGATTTCATGGAGTAGGACCTACAGGGCATGAACTGCTGTGCTCATTAGGCCTGTAACACAGACAAGTTTGTGAAGATCGTGCAGCTTTGGAACTGTGTGATTTACTTACCGGCTTGGCGCGTGACACTGTACCAATTTGAAATCTTAACAGACTGGCAGGGTTCCTTGATGTAGTGATTATATACAACTTATTAAAAAATCTGAAAAGTCATGACTATGATTTCCAAATAGAAAAGTAATTCTGAGGCTGCTTTGCCTTCTTTCATTTTACCTGATCTGTTTTCTTGTCAGTTCCTTTTCTAAAAGAAACATCAATGCTAGCGTCATCATTGGTTTCCATAACGAATTCTGAGTGTCTTGAACTCATTGTTGCTTTAAGTGACATTTCATGTTTACCAGGAGCAAGCTTTATGCTGTTATCTTTTGATATGCTCTCATCCAAACGTTTAAAACTGTTCCGTGACTCTGTGTTCTTTATATTGCCAGTTTTTTCTGGTATTTTACTGATTTCATTGTACTGCTGCTCCACGATTTTTCCATAGCTGTGATGTTTGTTTTTCAGCCCTGGAGAAGACATTTCAAATACTGACGTGAACACTCTTGGCTTGACAGCTTTACTACATGAATTAGGACCTAATATACACACATACACAAAATGAAGTTAAAAATGGGATTTTAAGAAAAACCCGATTTAACACTTTTAATAAATGAAGTAAAAGTTTAACCTTGATAGTCTGTATTTCCCAGTGCACTACTATTCTGCTTGTTACAATGTGATATTATCTGCTCAGGTACCCAACACTTCTGTTTTTTCCGAGTTCTAGCTTCTGCAACAGAATTTTCCCGAATGCCAGGTAACCTAAATAAAGCAAATGGGGAGAAAATCCTACTTTTATCACTACTGTATGTGGTTGTCCCTCCCTGCTTAGTAGGAGGCTTTGCGAATCATAGGTCTGTGAAGTTTTGGGCTCTATTGCAATGAAAAGTGCTCCAGAAAAACACTTCTCTTTTTTCCTTTGGACCTAAAGCCTATAGACTACTGTAAACCAATTGCTCAGAAGCCACAGAGCTAACCTGATTGTCTATATAAGGCAGCGTAAAAAACTTTAAGGCTCCTCGCCTCCAGGAAACACATAAAATCTATTATGAGTGGCCTGCCATCTTCCTGAAGAAATACAAAAGCCACTGGGGTCTGCTCTGCTCCTCTGCAAAAAATGTGGAGGCTTTGAAAGAGTAAGCCTGACTTTCTCAGCAATCAGCAATGCCTTCTCCCAAAGCAGTGTTCTTAGACACAAAGTCATCTACTGCTTGCCTGGCAAGTAAAAGCCTGGCTACGTTGGGAAAGTAAAAGACACAGAGACTATACCAATTAGGTTACTCCCAGAAGGACAGTTATCTACAGAAAAAATCCCACCTCTTGAATATAAAGATGGAAAAACACAACCAGGGAGTGACCAATGAAAAGAAAAAGACAGAAGTATAAGGAAGAAACATAGATAAAAGAAAATACAAAAGTAAGGGGGGGAGTTCATTTTTTTTCCTTCTCAGAGAAAATACTTAGCAAAGAGCAGTTCTCCAAGCAAGTTACTGCCGGGGTGGTGAAAGGAGAATAGAGTTAGAAGGTGGGAGCAGCAGGGCAACCACCAAAACTGTAAGCTAGCTTTAGAACTGAATTATATTTGCATGGGCAAATAACTGGCCTGTGTGACTGTGCAGGAGCTACAAAGAACTCTTGCACTAACCAAATGCTAACTTCTTTTAAGAGTTGTTTTTTAACTTAGTAAGCAAGGCGTAAGGAAGGCCAAAAAAAATAAATGATAATAAGTGACAGTCAAAGTTTCCAAGCCATAGGCTGGAAGGGATTTTGGACCCCACCCTGCTAACATCCATGTTTTTGCTTGAGAATATAACTGATGATAGGCTTATCTAAAGACCTCCTGACATGAAATCAGAGCCATCCACCAGAGTATTCTGCTATCAGTACTAGTTAACATTTAGATTTACTGTTTATAATTTATTTCCATTACTTACAATGCTTTGTCACTTCTTTCTACCAGCTGAGAATCAGGAACAATATCCATCAATTCATCTAAGTGAAATATAGACATAAAATTAGACTTAAAATCTTCATCTTGTTAAAGATTTTCCATCCAAATTTTATTCCTTTTTAGAACATTTTTAACCCACTCTTCAGCTGCAAGGGCTGCATACAATAAACTGAAATGAGACAAATATGAAAATAATTTAAAAGCAAAACTAGTGAAACATGTCAAGCAACTTGCCTGCTTTTTGTTTTTCACTGGTGTTCAAAACTTCTTCCTCATAAGGCATGTTTTCAACATTTTGAATTGGAGCTTGCTGTATATAAACACAATAAAAAATTATTGATGTAATTAGCATGCATTTATTTTCATCTCAGTTTCTCAAATATTGTTCAAACTGTTTCACAGGTTCAAGCACAAAATACATAAGCTCTCAAAGATCAATATCACATATCCTAATAAAACATTTTTTTAAAACTTACAGTACAATGCATGCAGTACATGCATGCCCAAGGGAAATCCTATTGAGTTCAGTGGGATTTATTTGCAGGTAAGTGTGAATAGCCTGGACTAATAAAAGGAAATTGATATGTTAGGTAGCAAAAAAATCAACAGCAGACAGACAAAAAAGCATCTTCCTCCAACATACTCCTTCACTTTGGGGCTTTGGAGCGGAACTGATAAAGTCTGAGCTCAATGAAGGTTGGCTGGATTGACACGCACATACAGAGAGTGCTATAAAAAGTAGCCTTTTATGTTTGCATTTGTCTGGAATTTAATGATGATCTATTTTGCAATACAGTTAAGCAGTCCAAAGTCCACTCAGTCTTGATTTATTTGATGTATTTTAACTACAAATTAAGCTTCTGAAAGGGAGCAAACAGTGTACACAAGGATTCAGTAAGAGCAAAAATAATGGCTTTGAGATTTCTACCAGGCTAAATTCAAAGTGTAGGCCAGCTGTCACACAGCGATGTCATAAATCCTTGGCCAATGTGTTCTCCAGTATCACAAACCTGGTCCCAGCCAGCCCACATAAGAATGGGCAGCTCTTTGCCAGCTTCAACCAGTACTATTGTGCGGTTTTGAAGCTTCCATGTGAGTTTACCCTAAGTTACGCAAACATATAACTACCTTTTTTGCAGCAGAATTATCCTTTCTTACAGATTTGGTAACCGAAGATAGAGGCGTATAATCATCTTCTTGATTGAAATTCACTGCTCTTCCCTCAGTTATTGAGAAAATATCAGTTCTTCCCATAGAGCTCGTCATTTTAAGAGGTGCTTTAACTCTGCTTTTCAGGGGAGTTGCTGGAAACAAACCCACATTTGAGTTATTTTAACGAAGTTTGCATGTTCTGTGTTGTTTGTGCCAAAACTGTAGGCAAATGGGCTTACTACAACTTGAATATTGAACAGAGCAGAACTATTAGTCTCTCAGTTTTAATTTTTAATTTGGAATCATTACATGCCATGGGGGATCTCACACTATACCTCTTCTTGCTTCAATTACTTGTGGGAACCACAAACACCTTGGAGTCCCAAATTTGATTTAAAAATAGAAAAAATGTTTCTTTACAGAATCAATATGGAGGTCAGCATGTAAAATGACATATTTGAAGTACCAAATTCAATGTTTACAGAAGATTAAACTGTTTCGTTCAAATAAAGGGATTAACACTGTTGGCCGAACCAAAACGTTATAGACAGATATAGGCAGAGAGCAGGAATGTTGCTGCGAACATTTCTTTTAGTGGACATGAAGGATGCATTCAGAAAACTAAGAGTTAGTCATCATCTAGGTCAGGTAGTGGGCACATGTCCAGGTTTTAGACATATCACTCAGCTCCGGAGTCTCTGCCCCTGGTTCTGACCGTGTCTGAGCTGCAGTCAGAGTCCCAGAGCACGGTCATGGCACAGTAGGACTGCCACATTCTAAGCTTTTAAGAGCCAGGTGTAACTGAGCTGGGGGAGGGGGACTCGCATTTAAGATGACAGTGACTTTCCTTAAGTCAGCAACTTGGGAAACATTAAAGATCATATTGGAAAGATTTGCCAACACGCTTTGAAACTTACCGTAACCTTGCAATAAAAGTGCTTTTAAAAATAAATCTATTTCAAATATAAGCCTACTACAGGCACAAAACAATATTGAGGTCCACTTTCATATTATGCTGATTTCTTAGTTTCAAGTACATTTCATAAAAAGCTATTGTCAATATCAGAATTCGGCAAATCTGCAGCTGATCAATCCAACTATTAGGACTACTGTCTTTAAGGAAAATCTGTCTCCCACTGTAAGAAATGTAACATTAAAAGGTGAGAGGAATATTGATGAACTTGCTTCATTTTCTAGATTGGAATGTGTACGGGGGTCAACTCTAGTGTTGAGAGACAGTGTGGTGTAAGAAAGAGACAGAGAGTTAGCCCAGGAAGATCTGGATTCTAAAACCAGGTTGAGGGACCACAGTGTAGTGGTCAAGCACATTCCTTGATTGCGAAAAGTCCCATGTTTAACTCAATCCAACACATTTCCAGTTAAAGAGGTCAGGTAGAGGTGATGAGAAAAACTTCTGTCTGGAAACATGGCTATTACCAGTCAAAGTAGACAATGCTGGGCTAGATGGACAAACTTATAATCCAGTTTCCTATGCTCTTAACCCACCTCTTAGCCAAGGAGCTCACCTTGCACCACTCACAAAATCTTATTTCTCTCATAGAGGTATTTTTTGGGGGCTGGGCAGAGGGCTGGGGACAGAGGGCATCTCTTCAAAGGGAGGACAGGTGTAAAGATTTATTACAGTTAAAAGTCAACATATAGATTTAACCATTTATTGACTTTAAAAGCTTAAGACTCCGCTACTGTAATTTGATAGTGCCTTTGAAGAGTACTCAGTATCTATAACTGCAATTTGCCTTATGACAGAATGGGCCATCAAAAGCATAGATGACTATAACTTTCTGCCAACAATGCAAAATGATTTTGACTATTAAGTCACTGGGTTCCTAGTTGAGGCAACTTTGCACAAAATGAGGCAATTTTCAATTACTTCTGCAACAATTAAGATCAAAGCATCGCCTGATTTCAAACTACCATGAATCAATATAAAACAGAAAAGGCACACATTACTGTTCTCTGGCTTCTCCATAATTATGGACTCCCCTCCCCAGAGTTTTGCCAGAGCCTAGCCTGTGTCCTACATAAATGAATAAGAAAATGCTTGTGGAAACCATTAGCAGGCTCAATAAAGGAGGCCCGTTATTTGAGGTACATAAAAAGCAACTACTGGCTGATAAAATTCAAATAAAAAGATGCTTCATTGCGACTTAATGCTGGAGAGTGCTGAATACAACATTAACATTTGAGATTTAGGAGGAACTATATATTCTATTAACATCAAAGGTCCTCACATATGCACAATCATCTTTCTTTGATATATTTCACATGAAAGGAGGCATTAAAGAGTCAAAAGATTAAAATCTTTAAGGGTGCAATGACTTATGTTGCTTCTGGTGTTACTGTTTTATGCCTTATTTTGGATTTGAATCCCCCCCCCCTTCAAACAGCTACACTAGCTGGAGGATATCCTCACTCGGTTTGCTTTTCCTACTCACTTCATAAGGCAGAGCTGTTCAAACAAGGCAACAAGTATGCCCTCTGTGGAGAGCACTTTTCTTGAGTGTTTCCTGGGAGAGCAGTAGCTTCTGCAACTTGAGGAGTGGAAGAAGACAGAAAAACAGAGAGAGCTGGAAGGAATGTACTGGTTTCACCAAGGCAGGAGAAAAAACTGAGGAGATTCACTACACCTCCCACACTTCTGCTCTCCTGCCTTCGTCATAGCTTGTAATCATTACCCAACCCAGTTAACGCTTCCTTAACCCACAGAAATGACTTCTTTTGTGGTTTGTGGTGGCTGAGGAATCCAGGAGCTTCTTGGCATGATTCTAAAAAGCTTTTACGGTTGCTTTTGGTCCTAAAATTGTGTGTGTGGGGGTGCCCTCTATAGACTGTAGCAGAGAGCATGAGATCAAATCTAGTAAAGGCACCAGGTGTCAGGTCTGAGAGGCTATTCCCAACGAGGGCTGACTTTGGTTTAACAATGTGACACAAGCCAATGTGCTCCCCAACCGTTGTCCTAAGACCTGCACACACCCAGTGGCAAAACTCCAGATGGAGAAGTATTGTCCTGAAAAATTCTGCTTTTGAGCAGCATGGAACCCCTGCCTGTAGGACTGGGAGTAGTGGGGCCACTGTGGCCTGAGTCACCAGGGTTCAGGAAGTGAGGGCAGTGTTATGTCATATTGTCATCTTATGATGGGTGTTGAGGGCTCATTTTGATCTATGTGAATTCATATGCCCATTGTTGCAGGCAGAGCCGTGATTGGGGGATATCAGCCGTTTTTGTACAGTTTGGGGGTTTTCTGAGTTGTATTTTTTCCTTGCCTCCTAGGTTAAGCATATATGTCTGCCAACACAGCGGAGTTGTATCTCCCTCACACCTAGCATAACTGGAGTACTGGATTGCTCTGCCCTAAATCTTATTAAGGGTATTTTATTCCCGTGCCAGATGTTGATCATAATTGTTGATGCGTTATAAAAACCAGGCATTTTTCATAGCAGATGGCTAATACAACAGTAAATTACACCTTACAACATTGCATCTAACTTACAAGTATTAACCACTGGTAATGGACTTGGCATAGACAACCTGGCAGCAGACAGCACCACCATTGATGCCTCAGACACTTTCCTTTTACCTGGATTAATCTTGAAATAAAACAGAAAAGCATAATTTAAAATAATGCCAATCTAACCTTGGAATGTAATATACATTATTTTCCTTTGCATTTTATTATACAAATTACCTTGGATTTAACCGTTTGCAAGTCCCCCTTATTAAGTTTCTGATTCAAATTGTTCTGTGTCTGAAGATACTGATGTGGTGGGGAATGAGTATCTTTATCTTCCAGTGGTTTACAGGAGTTTTCTTCCAAAGGAGATACTTGACTTTCTGGTACAATAACCTGTTCAGTATTTTTTTAAAAAAATAAAAATAAAAAATAAAATCCCAGTTCAATACTAATCAACTTATTAAAAATATTTCTGATAAACGAAATGGATAAAAGGATAGAAGGGAAGGCTTTGATTTTGGGTGCTTTTCAGTTTAGAAAAAAGGCAAGTAACGGGGAGCATGACTGAGATGTGTAAAATTATGCATGGCATTGGGAGTAGGATTAGAACACTCACATGCAGATTCTGAATAAAATAGTAGCCTCAAAAGTATTTTGTTTAAAATGCACACATGCAAACATCCAGCTGTTCTGCTGGGATTTAATGTGAATGGATGAGTCACTTTTAGGCTTTTGAATAACAAGGTTTTCATGAGAAAGACTTGAACAGATAAAGAAATGATAAAATATACACCATCTCAGACAATAATGCACGCCTTCAATATTTATTAGTCAGAAGTTTGCTTTTAATATTATCACATTATAAACTGAAACACAAACCTGTGATTCACTTTCATCAAAAATGACATGTACTGTTGTTTTGGCAACTGACATAGTATTCTTCTTTGTAAATCCCTGAAAAATTTAAGTAGTAAATATTTCACAATACAGTGGTACCTCAGGTTACAGACTCCGCTAACCCAGAAATAGTACCTCAGGTTAAGAACTTTGCTTCAGGATGGGAACAGAAATTGCGCGGCTGTGGCACGGCGGCAGCAGGAGGCCTCATTAGTGGTACCTCAGGTTAAGAACAGTTTCAGATTAAGAACGGACCTCCAGAACGAATTAAGTTCTTAACCCGAGGTACCACTATATAACAGAAAATACAAAATAAAAATAATTTATGGTAAGTAGGGGAAACTTTATTTTTGCAGTTTAGGCTCTTTACACAAAGAAATAATGCACTTTTTAGATTATAAAGGGCTTTATTATGAGACCTCTTTTGTGTTTTCTCTTGGACAATGACTAATTCACAACATTGTTGTGGGGGAAACCGTCAATATGGATCTGAAAAGCTTTCCCTTTTGCCATTTCCAACTCACTGGAAATTGCTTCCGCTTGTTCAGGACGCTTTCAGGAAAAGTGTGTATGCATTTTTTTGTGAGGACAGTATGTTTGAATTGTTGTATCACATGTTAGCTTAAAGCCTTATATTAGACTAACACAGCACCCATGGTGCCACAGCACTTTTACTGGTGTCCCTCAGCAAGGGCCTCAGATTTCTGAACTTTTATTTAAAAAGAAAGTCTTTAGCCCTCCGAGAAAGAAAGTGATGGGACAAAATGTTCAGCTACCTTCTATGCGATTTCTGTGAAATGAGAGACTATGGTGTGTCTACCTTGTATATTCTTCCTGGTACAGAAGAATGCTTCCTGTTACTATTAGACAGCAGCAGTATGTACGTGCGTGTGAAATTAATATTGTGTGATCTCCACAATCAAGGCCAGGACATAGTTGACTTCCAATGGTAAGCATAAGGTGATTAGGGTTGGCTGTCTCTAGTTTTGTGTTCTGGCATGCCCACACCCATAGCAGCAATTTTGTAACCAGTGCCCCCAGTACTATCTCAAAATTTGAAATGTGGTCCAAAAATATTCGTGACCCCTGTATTAGACTGTTTCTCATTTAAAAGGTAATTTATTGTACATTCTATTCTTTCCCCCATTTTGCTCAACAGTTGCCTACACAAATCACCACTGCTTTATTCTGTGGCAGTTTCAGAACTGGAAAACCCTAGATTAATTTGTGACAACTGCTTGCATGCGGTGTTCATTTAGGAATAACTGGCAATGCAGAAATAGAAACAGAACCAACTATGAAAAGAACTATAATCACTCAAAAGTGAAACGTCCATTTTTGTTTCAGTTGCTAGATAGAGGATAGATGAGAAAGGAAATTGGTTCGCTTTTACCTGGCGTTTATAGGCACCATAAACCTTCAACGCTGCATCCACAATTTCCAATGCCGAATCAAAATGCAGTATTATTTTCTCTCCTTCTTGGATACCCACAGACATTGGATTGTGTAAATGTATTGTCAACAATTTCTTATTGTCTTTCTCTAGGCAACAATGAAGTGTGTTCATATTAAATTGTTATTACTTATATGTTAATTATTTGTAAAAATTGCAGAAGCATGCATTCAAATAAACTTTAGGGTTGTTGTTTTTTTTTAAAAAAAGAAATGAGTAATGATCATACCATTGGTTCATTATGAATCCCATCCTTCCCTTTTAATAGAAACAGTAACTGTGAATAAGAAATAAATTTATGTGCTCAATACCTTCAATAATGTATGTTTTTACTTCTTCTTCAGGAATGCAAACAGTTTCCCACTGATGACCCTAAAAATAACATTTGATGAAAAGCGATGGAAGTTCTTACTGCATTTTTGTTTGCTTGCATAATATGGTGTTAAAAGGCATACATTTCAGGTTAACAACTAGTTCTCCTGGAGCACTACTTTCAGAACACTGTGGAGGATCGTGGACCAGCATGTCAACCAAATCTCTAAGTGATCTGCCAGTTTTTTTCTGTTACAGGTGCCACTTTCCACTCACTTTTTTATACCTGCTCCCTTCCCCCAACTATCCAAAGTGGGCACGTGGGCTAGGAAACTTGGTACATTTGATTGAGTATATGGACACATCAGCTGGGGGAGGAGCAGGACAAGGACTATAAAAGTCCATGCAGCCCCTTGCCACACCTAGTGTAGTTTTGAAAAAAGTCTACATCTACTAAATCTAAGCTACTCTAATGTACCTTCATAGAAGAGCTTAACTGATTTTCTTTGAATACTGAACTATCCCTAAAAAATTAATACAATAAGAATACTTAACCTACACCATCATCCGCAGCAACATAGAAGGATACACTTTTGCTACCAGTATTAAAATCAATCCAAAATTCTTCAAGGTTGTCATCTGCTGGGATCTGTAGCTAAAGGAAATTCAATCCAAATATAAAATTATAAATGCATGTGTAATGGTGTAACATTTCTTACTAAATACACAATAGTTTTATTGAACAGGTAAGGCCTGTATACTCAACCCTTTATCTTGCACACACATCATATTCAGAACTTCATTCCTGGTCCCCTAAAACCATTGTTCCTAATTACATTTGAAACAGGAAACTGTAGTGTTATATTAATTTACTAACCAGGATTCAAACTGTTAGTAAACCAACATCAAAACATAGTTCTCCATTTCAGAGATAATGGGGAACTGTGACTAAGATGCCAAGAGGACAATGTTTAAAAGGAAGAGATGTGGGGCAGCACACTAGTCAAACACTCATTTCAACATTATTAAATTTAATAAACTAGGAACGCCAGGTCCAAATTGGCCCAGAATTTTATGTTGATGTCAAATCTCCAATGTCATAATAACTCATTTGCCTTTTCATTCCAAAGAACCTCTAATTTTTTGACAATCTATCAAACACATATCTCTGTTTCAATTTTAAACAAAAACACCAATAGTTCTAATAAAACAAACGATACACAAGACAAAAGAAATGAACTTACCTCATGTTCACAAAGCATAGCTGATAAACAAGGATAGGTAAAAACCCTGTCAAAAAAGTATTTACAGAATGAAGATATGTTCATTTCCACCTCATCACTCACACAGGTAATTGTTCCCACTTTCCATTACCTTTTCAAATGGGAAAAAATTAAAGTCCTACTTATGGACAAAATATTTCCTAAAAAAAAAGTTTATATATATTTTCCCCACCTGGTTGGAAGATTCTATTGGAGAGATTAAGTTTCTTGCCTCAAGCAAAAGAAGGAACAAACTGCAAAAAGTGGGTACCTGTCATATCTTAACAAGATTGCTTTTCCACAAAGAACCGGCAGCCACAATGACACTGCTGTTCTGGGTTGCCGTGGAGCAGATTTCTGATATTTTGCAGACTTCAATAAGAAAGTTTTCTGCAGAAAGCAGTGACCCGTTGGGTAATCTGACTACATCCAGTATAGGGCCTTATCAAGCTGCCAAACTTGGCCTGGAAGCAGTTTAGCAGCCAGTGCAGATCCCACAAACAAGGTGTTATGACCTTATGAAAGGTCAAGTCATATCACTGCATGTGTATATATCTAATGTTGCATTCTTCTTCAATTAAAAAAGTGTTTTCTATTACTATTCTTATTAATTACATTTCTATACCGCCTGACATCAAACGATCTTAGAGTGGTTCATTGCTAACTTCATACCTTCTTTTGTCTCCAAAAATGCCATTCACCTGGTTAAGGAACTTTCTGCAATCCTGTTAAGGACAAAAGCAGCATAAGTATTGCAATCATACCTTTGCTTTGAAATACCCAGTATGTGAATGTGACTTACTGTTTCAAACTCAGAATCCTTAATTTCTTTAAATGCATTACTAACAAACTCCATTGAAAACCATTGGCTTGCCAATTCTCGCCTCTGTTTTTCTGATGTCATTCTGCACAAAGCTTCTGTAATGGCAACTTGGAGGTCATAGTCTATAATGCACAAGAGGAATAATAGCATAAAACCTCCTTCCAGGGATAAATATTACACTTGCTAACTAGTTGCTTAAATTTAAAAAAATGATACAATGTATGATATATTGCATAAAGGTAATGGGTTATGATAGCCATGGGCTATCGAGAAACAAACTGGGCTACTGAGAAACAAAAAGGGTGCATAAGTATGATTTGGGAGACCTCAAGGTTTGCAGAAGTAGGTATAACCTATAGAGGGAAAAGCCTCTAAAACAGCCCAGTGAGGACTGAGCATACTCAGTATGGTTTTTTTTAATATGAAGATGCTTCATAACTAGAGTCCTTGAGTGCCAATGGGGATATCTTATTCAAAGAGTGGAAAAACCCAAATTTGAGATGCCTCGGATTGAAGATGAAGAAAACAACACCTAGCAAATTGTGAAAAAGCTGAACTTTAATACAGCTAGATATTAACATGAAGTACATATTTTGAATAATTGTTATCTACATAATTGGCAAACAGAGAATAAAAAGACCTCTCTCTTTCATTTTTGTTACTTATCTTACATTTCTATGATCTTTAATTATTGTTTTCTTTCTGTTAATTCGATCTATATTTATATTTTGATTTTTGAAGTTTCCTATCTTAAATTAAAGGAAGATACATACAGGGATGTGATGGAAGGGCCTTGCATGAGAGGCAGGGTAGAGAGGATCTCCCAGTGTGAGAAGTTGGAGGAAGAGGGGAAAGCTCCCAGGTGAGAGCTGGGAGGGTTCTTTTTATGTGTGAACTAAATGCTTTTGTCAAATTCATGTTCATGTTCAAATGCGATTCTTTATACTCTTAACATTGTCAATATGGGCACAATAGCAAAACTACTTCTGTTACATTATCTAAGCTGATAAACATAAGTATCCTCTGTACTTACCCCCAGCTTCCAAAATTCTCTTTCCCATATCATTCCTGCAAAACAAAATATTATGATTCAGGATTTGTTTTTTAAAAAATTATATACTTTTGTTTAATGATTTGTGCATCCCCTTCATGGTGATATCCACAATTAAGAATATATTATTGTGTGGACAGCTGGAGTCCCCAGATCCCGAGCGCCCCCCCCCCCCGTCATGTGGAATAACGACTCAAGACAACGTGCTATGGGATTAAATTGGCCACAACTTTATTAAATTTCAAATGTGGGTAGACCTTGGCTCAGGCATTGGGCGTTCTCCCTCCCCAGCCGGGGACCTAGGGAGCATCAGGGTTATCCAGTGTTGTGGGGGGAATGGGCCAGCTCTGGAGAACATATGTTCAAGCAGAGATAGCCGCCCCCGTTACGCCGCCGCTGCAGGGGAGAGCAATGACGACCTTTCGGCGTACGGTCAAAGCCTCCCTTCAGAAACCCCTTTAACGGGGAACCCTGGTATCGTCGCTGCAAAGAGGAAGATGGACAAAAGGATTCCGCCTAAGGCCTGATACCGCCAAAGTTGTGACGTTTTGCTACGGGAAAGGCGAAACCTGCCAATGCAGGGAAATTCCTTTCCGGCCCTTTGACAGCGACCTTAACGTAGCAGCACCCGCATACCTGTGAAGAAAAGTTAACCTGCAAAACCTGTGAAGAAAAGTTAACCTGCAAAATAAGGCATTGACTGAGGGTGGGTAGGGTGGGAGAAGCTCTGGAGCCAAGTGAGGATTCCCAGGTAAGATCCTCCCTCTATTGTGTGGGCAGGTAATCCCGCCCCTACCTGGCCTGATCTCCTTGGCAACGTTTCCCCCAGATGGGACTGGTCAACTGACTGGGGTAGGCGGAGACCTCCAGGTATCCCACCTGAGGGAAGGCAAAGCCAAGCCTATGCTGATGGAGCCGCTCCAGATCCAGGAGCTGCGCGCGTCCACGCAAAGGTCGCCCCCCATTTTATGCGGGGAGCGGTCATTCCAAAAAGTCTTCATTTCTGTTTATTTTGGGGCTGATTTTTGTAAAAATAAAAATAACGTTTGGCCTGTCTTTATCAGGAACACTTGAGGGAACTGGGTATGTTTAGCCTGGTAAAGAGGAGACTGAGAGGAGATATAATCGCCATCTTCAAATATCACAAGGGTTGTCACATGGAGCAAGCTTGTTTTCTCCTGCTCCAGAGGATAGGAGCCAAAGTAATGGATTCAAGTTACAAGAAAAGAGATTCTGACTAAACATCAGGAAGAACAGAAAAGTAAGAGCTGTTTGACAGTGGAACAGACTCCCATGAGAAGTGATGGACTCTCCTTTCTTGGAGGCTCTTAAGCAGAGGTTGGTTGGCCATCTGTCATGTTTGATTTGGCTGAGATTCCTGCATTAATTTACATTGGCTTTCTTTACACCAGCATCTTGTGCATAGGATTGCTTCTTATGTTTTGTGTTCTTTCTTCTTTGGTACTGCTTTCTAAGAGCAGCTTTCTAAAAATGCTTAACCCAGAGGCTGGATTGTGCCTAAACAATATTTTAAGCCATGTCAACAAAATGATTTTGCCACAAAATTAGATTCTCTTACCAAGGTTCTAGTTTTATGAAAAGGGGAAAGGCTTATGTAATTATATTAAAGATTAAATAATTACATGACTTCTTGCATTTCCTCTGTAGAAATAATTTTCTTTCTAGTATCTCGGGGCATAGAATCAAGCATTGTGTTCAATTTTCTTACTGCCTAAGGATAATAAAAATAAATGATTGAATATTAACCACATTAGAACAAGAAATATTTGCAATGCATTAGGTGAAAGAATATCTTTAATTGTCCATTAAAACAATGTAACTTAAGAATCTCGATCTTAATGACTGCAGATCTTAAATGTTTATTCTGTAATATATAAATCTGAGTCTAAGGGTACAACACAGGGTTATCAGTTTAGTGGAGCAAGAGAAATTCTCCTCTGCTAAAGTCTGGATAAACTATCTACCCACAATCTGCAGAAGAACATGTCAGTCAGGCCTTTGTTGGACAAGTATGTGGCCGACTATACACAATGAAGCATCACTAAAAATACAAAAGCACTTTTCAAAAGTCAACCCTAGTGGCTGGTATGTCAGCTATGGTATCAGCTATGTGCTGATAGAGTAGCCAAAGAATACATAAGGGACTGAACAACAGAAATTACATAAGAGAAAGAAAATAGGAAATGTTCTTGAAAGTGCTTGAGAAAAAATGGATGTTAATTTATTTAAATTATAAAAATGGGATAGTGCTAGCAGAGAAACATTTCTCAAAAATATATAGAAGAAATGCATCAAAATAGACACGTTAAAACAAATGGACACAGAGATCAGAGAAGTAGGTATATGTGCATTATTTCTATACTGTCTTTTAAAAAACTGAATAAAAACTTTTTAAAAATACTCTAGGTAACAGGGGATAATCATTAAAACCTAACATTGATCAGAAGAAAGAAATTTCTTACCTCCTGCTGAATATAAATGTTAATTCTTTTATCGGTAGCAAGTGTGCATGTTCGCAAAACAAAATTTTCTAGTACTTGTATTTTACCTAAACAAATATTGTAATATATCATTTACATAAGTCTCTACAAAGCCATATGATTATATTTCAAAAAAACTGGCAATTATAGTGTGAATAAACACTTTTAAAGCCTTTCATTTAGAAAGCAAGCAAGCTTTATAAATATTGATTGTCTGAAGTGACACAAAACAAACAGGAATTTAACATACAAGCATTCTAAATTTCAGCCATCTTTAATTTATGCAACCTGAAAGGAACAAGGAACAGTAAAGCTCATTTGCTAGAGCTTTTGGCTGCATCTCTCTAGAAAGTTGGGCTGCTTAAATCTTAAATCAATGGGATTTAAGAAGACTGTATAGAGGATTGCAGCCTCTTTCCCTATAATGATTCAACAGTAGTCCTTTTCATTTCTACAGAGAGCCACAAACTTAGCATCTTTCAAATCTTGTAGATTATCTGAAACTTCATAATCCAATAAGGTCGCCATGTGTCTTACTTTATATAAGACAGCCTTCTATTTGAAGAGCTGTCTAGTCCAAGTCAACTTTAAAGATAAAGAATTATAAGAAGGGGCAGTAGGTTTCTTGAAGAGACCCACCAGCACACAACATCTGGACAGCAAACTAAGCAAGCACACAGTTTACCTGATCACAGTATTCCCCATTATAGTGAAATATACTGCATTTCTATTTAAATCACTGTAAAAATACCTAAGGCTGTGTACATCCTCCTATTTACTATTTATCCAGTGGATTCCCAGCACTGTTTTGGGAAGTGGTATACACACAAAAGTAGCCACGATCCATCTCTATTCTGTATCTATATTGGATGAAATCAGATTCATCCAAACTGGGGGGAAAATGACTTGGCAGCATTTTAAGCCAGTTGTGTGTACACAGCCTAAATGTGCATCCATCAATTTTTCTTTCTTCCTCTCTCCACATAAATTAGTATATGCAAAGTTTATGTAAGTCTATTTCCTCTCCCTGCCACTTTTTGGGATTCATTTTCTCTTTTTGACAATGTGTAAGTGCCTTCCCCCAGCCTAGCATATAGGCTATTTGACTGTAATATATAGAATACACTCATTACTGATTAATCAAAACACCTATAGGACTAACAGTATATGCAACTAGAAATATAATAAATATAATTATAGTAATTAGTTTCATGCATACCTTTACTGCTGGCATCATGTACTATCTACAATTTAAATAAACAACATATTAAAATCACTCTGCACAATCAGGACTAATTTATTTATGGAAATGGATTGTATCCAATGGTGACTTTGTGCTATTAAAAAGCAATTCCATTCATCCAAGGCAGAACTTGAATTTTGCTAAACCCAGAGGTACAGCTTTTCAGGAAGCAGCTTTTCAGGAAACAGACAGGCTGCAGTGAATAGGAAGGATCAGCAAAAACTGGATGCCCCAAAGCCAGTGAATTCTGCTATCAATGAGAAATCTTTAGAATTGTTTTCTGTTTCTGTTTAGGCAGACCCCAGAAAAATACACATGTAATAACTATATTTTCACAAAATTATGCTGAAAAAGAAGAGGAAATGGACAAGAAGAGAAGATACAACCTAATGAGATTGCTTATATGTACATACCAGTAACTATAGTTTACATTTGAAATAAGCAAACAGAAATTTTGAACATGATATCCTTTATCTGCATATGGGATAAACAATGAAAATCTAATTGGCTTTTTAATACAGTTGGATTTCTTGTTTTCTTAATGTTTAGATATTTAATTATGACCAATGAGTTAAAATAATGTACATAAAAAAGCTTTTCCCCAAATATTTAGTACGTACATCTTATAAATATTTAAAAAATACATGTCAATTTATGGAACAATGCAAGAGGTGCATATTTACCATAAGAACATCAAAGAAGTCTTCAAACAGAGTGGCAAATTTGTCATTCTTTTCATTTACTGTATTTTGGATAATTTCTTGAGCCTTTTCAAACCAATTTACCATGTAGAGAAAACATAAAAGGTTTGTATAAGTATACATTTAAAAGTTATTATTTCTAGAATTCACCAGGCTGCTTTCCAATTGAAAACCAAGGGTAACAAGCCTTCTTTTGGCGCAAGGGCAATGTGCACTTATGGTCAACTTTGCCTCATGCCAGTGGTAGGTGTGGTCAACACAGTTTATCACACATGCTTGCATAAAGAAAAAGAGAATGAGTGAGAGAGAGAGAAAAGAAAAACACATAGGCACATAACTGCCTCCCACTCATGCAAATCAGCCTGGGAACGGGGCTCATTCCCTCTCCACTCAAATGACTGATACAATTATTGGGGAGCAGGATCATTATGATTTATCATCATTATGATTTAGTGATACATATAGGTAAAGGGACCCCTGACCATTAGGTCCAATCGTGACTGATTCTGGGGTTGTGGTGCTCATCTCGCTTTATTGGCCAAGGGAGCCGGCGTACAGCTTCCGGGTTATGTGGCCAGCATGACTAAGCCGCTTCTGGCGAACCAGCCACACATGGAAACGCTGTTTACCTTCCCATCGGAGTGGTACCTATTTATCTACTTGCACTTTGATGTGCTTTTGAACTGCTAGGTTGGCAGGAGCTGGGACCGAACAACTGGAGCTCACCCTGTCATACGGATTTGAACCGCCGACCTTCTGATCGGCAAGTCCTAGGCTCTGTGGTTTAACCCACAGCGCCACCCACGTCCCATACAAGGAGCCATTATCAGTTTTAAATCACTGTTCAGCACTCAAATCAAATGGACGTCCAATATGTTGCTATTACAGTGGTACCTCGGGTTACAGACGCTTCAGGTTACATACGCTTCAGGTTACAGACTCCGCTAACCCAGAAATAGTACCTCGGGTTTGCTTCAGAATGAGAACAGAAATCGTGCAGCGGTGGCACAGTGGCAGCAGGAGGCCCTATTAGCTAAAGTGGTGCTTCAGGTTAAGAACAGTTTCAGGTTAAGAACAGACCTCCAGAACGAATTAAGTTCTTAACCCGAGGTACCACTGTACTTTATCTCTAATTACTCCTAGGAAATAGTTTTGAATTTCCTATACTTATCTTTTGAACAAGACCATATTCTATCATTGCTGGAAACCCAATTTCCCCTAATATGGTTACATTTCTGCCTTGCTTCAGAAGAGTATTCAACATAGTGGAAACATTCTTGACTTCTTCATTGTCAAGTCCCTGAAAATTGAAAAACAAAATTTTCAGTAGTTATACAAAAAACTTTATTTAACAGGATGAAAACTATGGGTTGGATCCTGACTTGTCATCCACAAATGAAGGTCTCCTTCCATCCAAAAAAAGATCCAGGAATCTGAGGGGATATGGCGGTGGCAGAAATGTTACTGATTCCCTCCTTGCCCCACACCGGCACCACCTCCACAACTATTTTGGAGGGCCCGACCCCTTGAAGTCACATATTTAAGGAAACATATATTTTTTTTAAAAAAAAACTGCTTGTCTCCACAACAAAATTTAAATTTTACATCACTTTTAATGATAAAATCAAAGTCATCTTAAAAAGGTAAAGGTAAAAGACCCCTGACAGTTAAGTCCAGTCACGGACGACTCTGGGGTTGCAGCACTCATCCCGCTTTACAGGCTGAGGGAGCCAGTGTTTGTCCACAGACAGTTTTTTTTCTGGGTCATGTGGCCAGCATGACAAAGCTGCTTCTGGTGCAATGGAACACCGAAACCAGAGCAGTGCACGGAAACGGCGTTTACCTTCCCGCCAGAGCTGTTTCTATTTATCTACTTGCACTTTTTTGGTGTGCTTTTGAACTGCTAGGTTGGCAGGAGCTGGGACCAAACAACGGGAGCTCACCCCATTGTGGGGATTCAAACTGCCAACCTTCTGATCGGCAAGCCCAAGACGCTCAGTGGTTTAGACCACAGCACCACCCAAATTGTAAATCACACACAAAAAACATTTTTACTCCTAAAATGCCATTATAACTGCATAAATATGTAGAGCAGCAGAATAAAAGCATAATGATGTTTTTACTGTAAAATGCATGCTATGATGAAACAATCTTAACAGTCCATTTAAAAGCGAACAAAGAGAGGGCAATGCAATAGAACTTAAAAGACCTCTCTCCTGTTCCCACCCAACACATGTCTGTTGGCAAAAGGACAATGGAGAAGAACTTAGAAAACATTGAGTAGGTTCATATGTGATTTTGTGCAGAGAGATTAACAGAAATATGGAGTCTGTAAACTAACAACAGACAATTTTCATCTCAAAGAGGCAGAATACTATCAATAAAACTTCAGAATACTATCAAGCCCATGGTTCTCCTGTAATTCAAACTGCCCTAAACAATATTTTATACAATATTCCACTATGTACTGACGTAACACAAAAACAAAAATCCATTACCTGGCATATAAGTTTGTCTAATTTATTGAGAAACTGTTTGCTGCATTTGTGAGAAATGCCACCAGAAAAATCAGTTTCCAAGAACTGTTCCAATGCTTGGAAGTCATTTTTTCTTGTAGCATCATCTATACATTTTTCCAGCTGTCAGAATGGGGAAAAAGCACACAAATACTACTACTTAATACTTTAGTTACATTGAGCACAGTGACAAATCTTATGCAAATCTGTATTTTTAATCAATCTTTTAATTAGGACTAAAATGCTTTTCCGGCTTTTTTAAAGAGAGGTATAGTGCTAAAATATTAGAAAGATGTTACTGTTAATAGCAATGACTGGAAAGGGGGGAATATTCCATTGTGCAAGCAGAAATCCTTGCGCTGATGGGATGCTCAAGTAGTACTACACTGGACACAACTCAAAGTTTCCATGCTCACAGTGGCTTCTCCATTCAAATCAATGGAATGGAATCAATCAATCAATATATAAGCAAAGGCACGTACAGGCAATGCAGCCCCTTTCTCTGAAATCAAAGGAGGGGGATATCATGTAGAAGCTCTATGTATGCATTTGTACACGTTCCTTAGGAATTAAGAAACAATTAACTGTTCGTGAATCAAAGATACTTGGAAGATATATAGTGGTTTGGGTAACCATGTGTGTATTCAATTATACTGCAGTAGTTCCACTAGTTTTATTATTTTATGCACATTCAAAGCGGGGTGGGGGGGGGGAGGAAAGGGTGCACTAAACATCAAATAAATCAATTTTCTACAACTCTTTGGGGTCTGGATTGAACAAAAAAATCATTCTTGGGAATAATAATGTATAAGGCCTGTACAGACTATTAAAAACAAACAAATACCTTATGCCCATAAAACTATTATTTGGTAATGTAAAAGGCTAAGCTATTAAAACAAAATCAACTCAGAACAGATACAGAGCAGCACATACCTGTCCTTCCCGCCTCCTAACAGGCATTTTGACAGTTTCATATACTTAACCTGAGAGGCAAAAAATTGAGAAAATGCACATTTTAATTAATATAAAATCTAATTTTAATTAATATAAATATACTGTACACTACAATTGTAAAAAGTTACATTTTATCAGTAATATTAAACACACAACAAAAAAGTACAAGTAAACAGACGGTTAAAATGATGTGTTCTTTAAGATTATCTGTGGCAATTAAAACCTATTTCTGCTTCAAAATCTGACTCTGCATCTACTTTACAATAGTATTGATTCATTTTATGTAGTAGCGTTATAAGCCCCATTGAACACAGTTAACTTCTTCCACGTGTACATACAAACATTGCAAGTTATGCAACACCATTTTCACCATTTAATATTTGAACTGGTGTATCTGTCTACTACAGTGGTGCCTCGCAAGACGAAAAGAATCCGTTCCGCGAGTCTCTTCGTCTTGCGGTTTTTTCGTCTTGCAAAGCAAGCCCATTAGCGGATTAGCGGTATTAGGGGCTTAGCAGGCTTAGCGGATCAGCTGATAAGCGGCTTAGTGGCTTAATGGATCAGCTGTTAAGCGGCTTAGCGGATCAGCTGATAAGCGGATTAGTGGCTTAACGGATCAGCTGTTAAGCGGCTTAGCGGATCAGCTGATAAGCAGCTTAGCGATCGGATCAGCTGATAAGCGGCTTAGCGGCTTGGGAAAAAGGGGGGGGAGGAAAAAACCCTCGCAGGAACTCGCAAGACATTTTCGTCTTGCGAAGCAAGCCCATAGGAAATTCGTTTTGCGAAGCACCTCCAAAACGGAAAACCCTTTCGTCTAGCGGGTTTTCCGTCTTGCAAGGCATTCGTCTTGCGGGGCACCACTGTATAACAGTTGTCTTTGAGAATGGTTCAGAAGCTACAACTGATGAAGAATGCCTGCTTGCTAAAGGCAAAAATAGATAAAAACATTAATATACAAGGACTTCTCCAACAGTTGTACAAAAGTTGTACATTTCAATGTGTTAATAAATCCCTACACAGTCCAGGCCCAGCATACCTTAGGGATCTGAACACTTCCATTCTTTAAGATCAGCACCCATCAAATTTGGTAAATTGGTGCTGCAGGTCTTTTTCAGTAATGCTACAACTTCTTAGCAAGAGGTCAGCCAAAGTCTCAGTAGTGTGCAGTTACTTAAAAACTCTGCAACTAACCTTATGCCAGATATTAAAGAGCAGTTCCACATTCAACAAACTAGCCATGTTTACTAGGGCATGTACCACCATTGAGTTTAGACCCCCATTTTCCAAGAAGGGACATACTTGATTATCAGCTGTAGCTCGGTATGAGCTGCTGTCACAGCCTTAGCCTAGCTATCCAGTAGACGCACACCCAGAAGCACTCCCAAGAAGTGAACCTGATGATTTAGTGAGACATCTTCACCACTCCACTGGAATTAAGACTGCCATGGTTTATTATAATATTGTTAGGCTGATTTCAAGTTTAAAATAGTGCATTCACTTAAATCCCATTGATTTCACACTAAGCAGACCTGACAGAGCAATTCAAATCTCCTTGCACCAGGCCTTTGGGGGGGGGGAGTGTCCCTCCACCCAGCCTGCTGGCTATTGAGACTCCATCTACAGTTACACCAGCATCACTGCACTGCCATAGGGGTCCTCCTTCCACCTGTTATCAGGCTCAATTGCAGTGCCAGTGCCAGGCTACAGAAGCAATTTCACTGCCCCTTCCATCTGACATGCATAGCAAGGCTGCAGATACAGAAGTGGCCCTATTGCTCCATAAAACCGTGCCAGGCTAGGGAGCTGGTTAGGATTAGATCCAACCCAATGCCATTAGGTTTATTAGCCAATGTATGTAATTTTGAACTTTTGGAGTGACATTCCTTCCTTTTTTCTTGTACAGGCAATAAAAATGTATGCAATCTGTAACCTCCCTCAGCTGCATCCCAAACCATGTTTGTTTATATGTTTTGAATGAACAAATTACCCTGGAGTTTACACATTTATTTATTTTCATTCTGGGATAACTCTGTTCCTACAGTAGAAAACATATTGGTGGTCTTTTCTAGGACTGACAAAGTTTGAAATTGTCCCTAGCTGTACCTTTAATGATAGTTCAGTGTGCAGACACTAATGTGATAATGCTTAGCCCTGTGGAGTGAAAAACTTCATATTTTGATTGCTTCAGGTCAGCATGCTTTTAAAGGCACAGGAACAGGTATGACTAGGCAAGATCCAGCAATCTAAGCCCCTTGAAGGCTTTTTATCATTTCTTTGGCAGTTGCCTAGCAGCAGTAATTACCAAAGCAACTACAACCATGCTACAGCAGTATGAAAAAGCTGCTGTATGCTGCATAACTGCTAGTAAGAATTTGGGGCAACAAGGGTGAGTTTTACAGTAGATAAGCTGGGGTTAACACTTGCCTGGATAAATGCAGTCTAAGCTAAAACTCTCAACAGGAGCAGTTTCTTGTCTCCATGAAGTTCAAGCGGACCAATATACTCAAGGAAGACTTGTAAAACGAATGACTTATTTTAAACCGTTTGTATAACCTCCCTTAGGCAAATGTCACCCACTGTCCCCTCCCTTCCCTTGCAGGCTGACAAGAAACATTTGCAAACGGGGGTCCTCTTTCATGTTTCTACCCCCAATGTGTAAACCGGTGGGTAAAATAACCCAAGGGGCGCAGCAGTTAAAAAGGCGAGCGAAGCAAATACGAAATTTCCACGAAAATTAGCTAGATTTCTCTCAGAAGGAAAAGGAAACCAATGATCTAGCAAGATTACTGCCAAGAAATCCGAAGTGGAACCGGGGGGGGGAGGGGTATATCAAAACAAGAGGGTTGCATCCGGCGTGAGGCAGGCGCGCTGAAACCAAGAGACGTGACTAACTTAGGCCCGTTCATTTCCATGGGCCTGCTCTACCCGGTTACCTGGCCAGCGCCCTCAGGCGAGGGTGGCCCTGAAGCCGCGGCTGCGAGGTAAGGGCGGCTTAGGCGCTTCCCTCACACGACGCCCGAACGAAGCCGCCAAGACGCGCCGCCGTCCCGCCAGCCAATCACCTTTCCGGAGGAATACGCCCGCCTCGACAGCCAATCGCTTTAAGCCGTCCTGAGGTGGAAGGCGGGGTCACTCAGAGGCGGGCAGCGGAGGGGGCGGGGCGAGGAAATCCTCTCTCCCAAGTCTCACGCAGTCACGCTCGCTTCCTCCTCCTTCTCCACGCTGCCTGTTCCTTCCAGCCAATCAGCGGGTGACGAGAGTGACTGATAACGGTCGCTGTCAACCGCTGTTTCTCGCCCCGCCCCTGCTCGCTCCAGAGGTTGATGCGATTGTCTCTCGCAATTGCTAAAGCTCTGTTAATTACTTGCCCAAATGTCGAGCGCTTAATTTACTGTATTTCTGTTTTTTTCCCGCCCCCCGCGAACGCACAAACTGCCACGACCATCTTTAGGGTCTCTTGAGTAGTTTTCCCTTCTCCACAGTATCCCTTCAAGTGCTTTTCAATTCACCTCAGTATTTTCATAACGCCCTCGCTTCATTGGACTTCATGATAAATGGCGCTAGTTAACATTTATTGTTATTGGTAGTAATGGTACCAGTCATAGTAAATAAATACGGCTTCCATTTTTAAGATGTGAGGGGAGAATTCACTAAATTGCTTTCAAGTTCTTAAATCCTTCCCAAATTCTAGCACTGTTGTTGCGTTTAAAACAAAAATGTGTACAACTGAGAAACGAGCTCAATTTGGGCGAGTACATGGGCTCGCCGAAATGCTGTTTCCTTCACTGCACATTCTAAAAACGTAGAAAAATAAGCACTGAGGTAAATATTGTCCCCCAGACTAAAAAAAGGGCAAAACATCCAGCAGCAGCCACCCTAGTGCCGTTTTATTCAAATCAGTATGTGGATTTTCTAAGTATGCCACTTCAAACACTGTTCTACTTGTAATAACATTTTTTAAAAAAGGGAATAGGAAATGGTGTTAAACCTTGTGAGGAAAATTTATAAGCACCACCAGATGTCACTGTAACATAAGAAAATATAGACAACCTATACAGTAGTACACAGCTGCTTTTAAGTACATTTCAGGAACATTTCGCCCCTCAAAGAATCCTGGGTGCTGTAGTTTGCTGGGAATTGTAATGCTGTGAGGGGTAAACTACAGTACCCAGAATTCTTTGAGGGGAGGGGAATGTGATTTGAATGTGCTTTAAAGCTACAGTATAGAGTATAGGTTAAGCCCCTTGCCAGATTTTGCAGGAAAAGAAAAAGCAGTTTGCCTCTGCAGCTGTGTAAGGACATGGAAATGCAAGGGGCCAAAATGCTTTCAGTTAAATTCACTGTATGAATTAAATTCGCGGTCCCAACCCCTCACCCCTAGCCCCTCTTATTCAAGAGGGGCTTTGTGGCATGGCAGAGCCAGTGCCACATCTGGAGCCTGTGAACAACAACAAGCAACACGTCAGTTAATAATATACTGACAATATTTTTATAACCCTACACTGTTTTGAAATATACTCGGAGTCAAGAGTGGATTTCATGCTCTTTATTCAGCTCATAGTGATGAGGAGGAATGGAATTTCCCCCAGAATGTCTGCTTTATACAGTGGTACCTAAGTACTTAATTTGTTCCGGAGGTCCATTCTTAACCTGAAACTGTTCTTAACCTGAAGCACCACTTTAGCTGCGCCTCCGGAGCCCAATTTCTGTTCTTATCCTGAAGGAAAGTTCTTAACCTGAAGCACTATTTCTGGGTTAGCGGAGTCTGTAACCTGAACCGTATGTAACCCGAGGTACCACTGTATACATTATTTACACAATGGGCCCCATGTGATTGGCTAATTCTGGAATTCTTCTATAGGCCAATCAGGTTGCGGATTCACTTCCACCTGGACCTGGATTGGGTGGCTCCTGTGGACCAATCAGACTGCTGCATTCTGAATCCTATTGTTCTAGGACCAATCAGACTGCTGCATTCTGGATCCTATTCAACTCAGTACATAACATGTTTCAAAATTCATATACAGAAGATATATAATATGTGCATGGAGTCACAAATTAATAAGAATCAAATAAATGTTCCATGAACAGGAATGGTAGGAGTAATAAGTCACCGTCAAAGATCACTGAAATGGAGGCAGAATGCCTTTCCACAGTCAATTTCCTACAAACGTGAGATGATGGGTGCTCCAAACGTCACTGAGCACAACAGCAGACAGAACAGTTCTTCCAGGAAAATTAACTGTTTCAATGATAATTCTTCATCAGCTGGCAATAGTATAAAATGAAATCCATTACATTCAAATACAATACAGAGATTGCAATGACAGGCCTGCATATAAACAACCAATAATAAATCCATAGCAAATTAATTGTCCCCAAAGGTACATCAAATGGCCATGGATCTGGAGCCTGGCCAGTTGCAGGGGGCAGGATAACCAGGCATGATCCCTGCACCAGCACAGGTCCAATCAGGTCTGGATTGGACCCAATGGCAGCGGGTGATGGCTATGAGACAAATCTGGAATCCTGGGCTGGCTCCACTTTGGGGCTTTCTGCTGGCAGGGATACGGCTGGTGAGCCTTTCACCTGGCCATATGCTCAGCAGATGGAAGGGGGAGGACAACGCCATGTCAGTCACTGTCAGCTGAGATTGGTGGGAGGCCAGTTCAGCTAAGAGAGCCCAATAGAAGGATGCTTCCACTTTTGTATATTGTGCCGCCCCTCAGTTTACTTAATTGATTTTAATATGTGCTTGACTAACATGGTGCACCCAGTTTACCTTGCAGATATTAAATGTTTTAATCCAAGAAGCTAAAAAAAGAAGAAGTCTCCTGATAGTTATCTCCCTCCTCATTTTTTCTTCACAACCAACCTGTGAGGCAGGGTCTGCTCTAACCCAGAGTTTTCCAAACTTTTCATATTGGTGACACACTTTTTTTTGACATGCATCATTTCACACCACACTAATTCAGTTTTACTAGTAAACCAAAGGTTTAACTTAAGGAGGTGAGGACAGGTGACCCCACCTAGGCCCGAAGTCAACCCCCCCCCAACCAGGCCTCAAAACTGTCCAAAATTCCCTTTCTCCTAAAAATCCAAAACAGCTTTTCTCTGCTCTTCTCTGCTTTTCTCACAAGATGCATAGGGAAAATGTTATTCTTTTATCAGTACAAGAAGGCTTCAAAAGGCTAATGAATAGGCTCTGTTCAAAGCAGGCCTGAGAAACAAATCTTATCTCATTCAGTTGCAACATCTTTGGACATGCTGAAACCCCTTGGCTTCTCACCCCGCCTTTCCTGGGAAGAGTCCCAAGACAGGAGCTTTTTGTTCATGCTCAGGGGAACTCGAGGCAGGACTTCGGAAGAGGAGGAGAAAGGGGAGGGAACTGGAAGGGGAATATATGCTCTGTGCAAATGACTGTGAACTCGTGCTTGTTTGTGAACTATCACACTTGCTCCTTCTACCAGTTCATGGATGGTAGAAATAAAGCTTTTTCTCCGAAACTATTCCTTGAGTGTCTGTTGACTCCCATTTTCCCTTTCCCGGGAGCAATATCTTTTCCCACCCGAGGGCAAAGTCTCATAAGGCTACAAAACGAACCCCTTCCCAGCCCCGGAGCACAGGGAGTGTTCGTGCGACACAACTACACGCTGCAGCCGACACACATGTCGTGACAGTTTGGAAAGCTCTGCTCTAACCAACTTAAAACAGCCATTCCCCCTTATTCCCCCCTCCCAACAGGAGGGAAAACGTCTTCTAAGATGGGCCCTGACTGCAGGCATCATCACAAATCCAAGTGAGCTTTTTCTTCAGAACTGTTTAAAATGTGCACCTACATGCAGACTTAACTGATTAAATGCCATACAATTAATCAACTTTCTTTCGTTGGGTGATGGCCCCAGATATCTACTTATTTAGGCAGAATGTACTATTTAGTTGACTGTCATCCTTCCCATTTTTTAAAACAATTTTTTTGGAATAGTTGAAAATGCTTAGGGCACTGGGGTGGTTGTGGTCAGCTCACTGACATCACAGCTTGCTTGGTACCAGGCACCCTGACCCCTCCACCATGTTATAGATCTGCACAAGCTGTTTTCATGCTTGCAACAAAACAGAGAAAGTGTATCTGTAAATACTGTCTTTGCTACCAGTGGTGCCTGTTGCCTGTTGGAACAATAGGGCAGGAGACCAGCAGTCTATGAAGCCACTTTTAACATATTGAAAAAATGTTGTACCTATGATTTATATATATTAGTTATGTCATAAACTAGTCCTTTAGGTGACAATCTATTTGGGGGGAAAAAACCTATTTGGCAAACAGACCACACCGACTTTTGGCTGGAATTAGATGCAGTTGTTGCTTTCAGATTTTGCAAGAGTAACGAGGGACAGTTAAACAAAAAGTTTCCGTGAAGACAGATCCCAAAGCTTTGCGCAAAGTAAGTTTATTTGATTTTGTTTTTTGACAGAAAAAGCTGATATTTATTCCATCTGACCGGAGCATGCTTGAGGATACGGGGGCGGGGGAATATTTGTAACAATATCGTATGACCTTCAGACAATAACACAGATGAGTGATACAGTTCAAGGCCAGGTCTGACTTGGAAGAAAACACCTGCAAAGTTCATAAATAAATAAATACACCAATCAGTTTTCAGCCATTCCTGAGAACGTGGCATCTTACAATGGAAGTACAACAAATAAATCCTGTTTCATTACTTATTTTAAGGACATTTGAATGTGACTCATTTCTATGCTTTCAGATCTTAGAAAGTTATGGTCAAAAGCAGCAGAGCAGGAGGAAACAAATACATCGTTCAGTATCATTGTACAAATTCAACCAATAAAAGGCTGGTTTAAGTATGCGCACAACTTGCTTTTTAAACTTCCAATTAAATCACACCTGAAGATAAACTGAAGGTATACACACACATTTATTATCAATGTCTTCTGCTGAAGAACATTCTGTGGAAGAGGTCAGGACATTTTCTTTTTAAAAAAAATAATATTTATTAAATTTTTCCAATCCAAATTATATATTCCAAATTATACAAATAATCAAACAAATATTATTATTTAGCTGACTTCCCATACTTTGAGATTGGAGGGAATCCTAATCACCTCATATTTCTACTGCATTTCAAAATATTACAGTAATTCCCGGAATACATTCTGATGTTAACCCTTCATTATTTTCAGCAGCCTCTGCGTTCATTCTGCAAGTGAGTTTAAGTCCAAATAAAATGTTTCTGTGTGGATTTTATGTCTTTACTCTTCTTCTTTATAGTCCAAATCTGGAGTCCAAGAGTCCCCCCTGTAAATTCACATCCTCTCTTCACAAACTGGTGTTTCTGCCGAATCAGTCCAGGAGCCTTCCACTGCAGGTAGCTGCCATATCGACAAACAGTCCAGATAAAATCAAATCATAGCATCTGCCCAATGTTGTTCCTTAACCAGCTGCTATTCAAACATTAGCTTTTCCTGGGGAGGGGGGGGTTACCAAGTAAACCGGAAGTGCAAGTATCGAGAAGTAAAATGTTAGAGGTTTCCCCCCACCCCATAGCAATATAATTTGTTTCAGCTAGCTGATCAATCTACTTTCGGTTTCACTCCTGGCAGGACGTTTTCAACTGCCTCACCATAACCTTATTCTGCTTTCCAGATTCCCATGTGTGTTCTGATGCATACACAGATATTTCATGTGCATGGGTCCTCCCCATTCAGTCCAGAGGAGGATGGTGCTTTGCAGCTATGAAATGATGCCTCTACAGCCCTGGTCTTCCACTGAAGCAAATGCAGTAGCCCTTGAGGACCAGAGAGCTCCACCAATCTCCCGAGACCATGGTTTAACTATACTGTGGCACATTTTAAATGTGACGTAACACATGGTTCTGAATCAGTACTTCCCTGAATTGGATTTATCATGCTCCTATCCCCTTAAAACCTGGAAAAAAAGCCTGGCCATCTGTTGGAAGCACTGTAGGCATTCAACTCTGGCCTTTCCAAAACAGCTGGAGAGCAAAGTATTGCCTTTGGTAAGCTTTACCTATTTTAAGGAGATTAAATGATATTTTGGGTGCTTTGGGGTATACCAAGCAAAGACAGGGCTAGAAATACGAGTCAATGAATGCGTTGAGGACCAAACTAAGCCATTTCCAAAAATCTTAGTGGCTGTTTCCAAAAATCCTACTGGCGCCTCCATTACTAGTTCTGCATAACCTGCCGCAGAACTTACGCATGTCACACTGTGCCGCCTTTCTCCTCTCCTATTCCATGCCTTCAGTTGTCAATGGAACTTGGCAACGAAATGTAGAACATCATGACATCACAATTTGAGTTAAGTTCTACTAGATATTATGGAGGGAGAGAACCTGATGCATGATGATCATTTGTAGCAGCAGCTGCATGCTTACTATGAAGTCTTGCTCAGACCTGAAGATGCGATCATACAGTCTTTGTGCCACATTGGAAGTACAGGTCAAGCTCCTGCCCACAGATTTGGTGCATGGTGGGAGAAGGGAGGAGTTATGCTGTGCAAGCCAAAATCCTTTCACAGACTAAGCAGGTTAGTTTTATACAACCCAGTGCATCAAAGGATTGGGTTTCTCTTGTGACTGTAATGCTTTTGTGCATGAAGCTGCTGCTGCTATGTCAAACATCAGCTATGCTGATCCTTATTCAAATTATGTGCAAAATCATCAGGATCTTTCACTTCCAAGTATACACTTAGCTTTGTTGGAAGGACCCTTAGAATCCTAACATTTTCAGCTCCCAACCCAGAGTGGAAAATGGTCAGCCATCACCGAGGCTGAGAAAAATTATGGAGCTCAGAGATGTTTTGACTTTGCATAGATAAAGCTTGCTGGCTCAGTTTTAAGCCGACAAAGACTTTGGAAGGAAAACACTGCCACAAACACAATGGCAGGAACTGCAAACTAGCTGCTAAACACGGCAAAAGGCTTGATCGGGTTCTCGTTTGCTTGTTCCAGGATTACGCAGGAGCAAATCCTTCAAAGACAAATGAAATAAATAATTTGTGTTTTCTTCAAACTTTCTGCATTCGAAAATAACCAACCCTTTGACTGAAGACCAACAGAAAACCCTTTGCTGTAGTGAAAATACTTTCTGCTGATATAAGATCAAAGATAATGAACTCTTCGAATGTGCGGCTTGAGCAATCTAGCCATGAATATTCCTATGAGGAAGCCAGACTTCCTCCACAAACTACTAAATCAGTGTCAACCTCACAATAAAGCTCTAGTGCATATGGCAACACATGCTTTTGTCATTAGGAGCGAAGGTCCTGCCATCCACCTTGCTGTGCGTTCCTAGTCCAGGGAAATTCTACCCCAGCATCTTTGGGATACTTGGATAGTGTGTTCCAGATTCATTATCTGGCTTATGATCTACCCTTACCATGTAAACGCTTATCCTGTTTGAGCAGGGTCTATTTAGCTAGGTCTCCCACAGACCTGTCTGTATTCCTTTCATTCATGCCTCCTCAGTCTGATCAGCTGACAAATCTTCAATGGCGCCTTCTCTTCACCCTGCCATGCAACTTCCCCCGTGGCTCTATCGTAGGAACATATGAAGATGCCTCATCTTGAGTTGGGTCATTGGTCTATCTAGGTCAGTACTGTCTACTCTGACTGGCAGTGGCTCTCCAGGGTTTCAGGCAGGAGTCTCCCAGCCCTACCTGGAGATGTTGTGGATTGAACAAGGGACCTTCTGCATGCAAAGTACATGCTCTACCACTCAGCTGTGGCCTGACAGTCATGGTACAGATATTCATCACCCCCAAGGCTCTTCTCATACGACTGTCCCCAAAACGATGCATTCCCATTCTATTTGAAGCTTCCCTGATTAAAGCAAATAAATCTCCGTTTCTCCAAATGTCGCAAGTCTGCAGTATCATTTTAAACAGGGGAGAAATTCCCATGAGTTTTCTGCATGTATCGGTGCTTATAAATGCATCCCTGTGTGGCAAAATCGAGATGCAATTATGGCAATGGCAAGCTTATTTGGAAACAAGCATGTGTTGTTTTTAATATCTGATGTTTTATAATTTGTTGGAAGCCACCAAGAGTGGCTGGGGCAACCCAGTCAGATGGGCAGCATAAGAATAATAAATTGCTGGTACTGTTGTTGTTTCCCACCTCACAACAGCATTTTCTTGTAAAAAACAACAACTGAGAAAACTTAGCTCAACAGGAAGGAAAAGGGTTATTGCCTGGCCACTTCAGAACCAGATATTTCAAATCAGTGTAGGAACAAGATCGGGTAGGCTTTGAGCAGGTTTTTATGGGTGTACCCTGAAAAGCGAGACCCTTTTCCCACTGGCCCCTGCAGTGGGAGTCACCACAAGGGATGGAGCACATAGCTTCCTGGATTGTGTTGACTGGGGAGGGGTGAACCAGACCTCTGACACCAAGTTCAATCACAATGCATGGCAAGGGAATCAAGGAGGAGCATATTTCTTCCTTCTCCACAGCACTTGAACTGCTATTCCAGCTCTTTGCCACACAGAAAGGATTGCCAAGCCCCACAGCAACAAGAACAGCACACTCTGCTACTGCAGCGTTATTTAAATTGACATGGCGTTTGCTTCGTGCCATTTGCCTTTAGCTTCTTATCCGCTGAAACTTTTTTGGCAGTAACGTAATTACCAGCATTCCCATTCTTTTTGGGGTTTGGGCAGGCATGGGCTGGCAGCCCCTTGAGAGGGACACCTGAACCGTGGAAAGAAGAGGGTTGCTTGGGTGGCCGGATGTTGCCAGCTCCCTGGATCATAGAGCTACTCTCAGGAGGATGCTTACTGACCAACGGCTGCTTGGCAGTAGGCCGCTTTTTGGCTTCGCCTCGTGCTTCACAAGGCCGCCTGGGGCGAGCTGAGAAGCCACACGTCGCTTCAGCCGTTCTCAACTGACCTTCATGGGGAACAACCTGGCTGGGTCCTTCGCCATGCAACTCTCTTCTGTGACCCTGCTGGCTGGCGAGGACTCTTGGAAAACCTTCGTGGACAGTCAGTTGTTTCTGCGGAAAAGGACTGTGCAACGGTTTGTTTTTACCAGGGCTTTTTAAGGTCCGGAGGGCACTGGGAGCAGTCTGAGGCCTTGTCTTGGCCGCCTTCCCTTTCTCAGCCTGTATCGTCTGCATCTGCAACCACTCCAGCTCCAAAAGCCGGTCGACGTACTTCTCAAGCGTCCCCGACGGCTCTGGCCGAGGTTCCGATTTGCATTCCGTGTTGACAAATGCCACCAGCCCTTTCAAGTCCCATGTGTTGAAAGGGGGCGGCAGGAAGTCCGGGTAATAGTAATCGGGCTGCTTGAATTTTGCGTCAAAGAGGTGTTCGAAGCACAGAGGGTCAATCTCCTCCGCTCGGAGGTTGAGCTCCGGTGGGGTGCAAGGCGAAGGGGGAATGGGGATTCTCTCTGAGTCGGAAAGGTCACTGGCGCTGTCCTGATCAGAGTCGTCTTTCATAATCCGCATGGATTCGAAGTCAAGGAACATCGCGTCAGCAGAGATGCTTTGATATCCAGGGCTGTAGGGGTCTGCTTCAGCTGAATGCCCTCCGGAGTTTCTCTCCAAATTGCCTTTTTGCTTGCAACAAAAACTCTGAGTCAGCCCATCTTCTGCGCCGCTGGAATCACTCCAGGAAGCATCCTTAAACACAGAAGGGATTTTGCTCCATCCAGCCTCGTAATACTTTCTGACCAGAGGCTCCTTTTTTAACCTTGGTGCTCTGTATGAAGAAGTGCAAACATTTGTTGTTCTAGGCAGGAAAAGAAATAACATTTAGTCTTTTTTGTTTTTTAAAAAGTAAGGCAAGTCATTGCCACAAACGTGTAATTGCAAACCAAGCACAAAAGGAGAAAAGACAAAATGTGCAAAGACATAAAGAAGGTAATATGAACGAGACAGGGAAGCTGCAACCCTCCAGATGTTCTTCCCATCACTACCAGCCATCATAGCTAACAATAAGGGATGATTTGTAGTTCAGGCACATCTGGAGAGTCACAGGTTCTCCATACCTCTTATCAAGCATCTTAGTGGCATTTCGTATTGGGTGGTCTTTATTAAAAGGCATTGCAATGGTCTGTAAAAGATTGCTTCTATTTTCCCCCCAGTTGCCACCGTAAACAGTGCTACTGTTTAGACAGCCTATTTACCCACATCGAGGTAGAAAACTGCTTGAATATCTGTATGAAAACCTGGTGTGGGAGCTTTATACAGTAGAAAGCATGAAAGAAAACAGGAGATACTTCCTTTGAATTTTGGACACGTATACCAAAAATGAACACTCCAGTATATCTGCCATCTTAAGCAGCAGGGAAAGCAAAATCTCATAAATGTTTTCATAAAGGCAGGATATTAAAGGCTCACCTTGATAGACTGATACCAGTCCAGGCACTGAGTATTCTGTACTCTTCCTACATCTGATAAGAAATCATCTGCAAAAATCTTAAATTTACAAGGCAATCCGATACTCAGAAGTAAGCCTCATTAAATTCCCCGGTAAGTGGGTTTAGCATGGAGCCAAAGTGATGTCCTTCAGATCATAGAATTGTAGAGTTGGAAGGGACCCTGTGAGTCATCTAGTCCACCCCACTGCAATGCAGGAATCCTGAAGTAGGACTTACTGAAATTCCCTCGTCTGCACAGCTCGTATGGTTGCAAAACTGTCCCTTGCCTCAACTGGTCTACTTACCTGTAAAACAGGGATGGTAAACACATGGCCCTCCAGATGTTGGTCCACAACTCCCATAATCCATGGCCATTTATCATGCATTGGCTAGGGCTGGAGTTGAAGTCCATCATAATCTTGGGCAGAACGTATTGTCAAACATATTGCTCTGCTTTCCTTTGGACCACATCAGAGAGGCAGAGAGGAGGGTCTTATCTTCTGGGCAGCCCAGGACCTCCATACGCACTCCATACCCAGGCTTGTGCCCCGGGGAGGTCACCTTGGGGCTGATAACACAGCGGTTTGACTTCACCCCTGCAGACACACTCCATTGTCTCTCAAGACAGACGGATGACAATGACGAGAACAACAGCAGCAACAACCTAACGGTATGATCCTAAGCATGTTGGCTCAATATTAAGTCCCACTGAGTTACATGGAACTTATGCACATGGAAGTGTGCATGGACTTGCAGCTTTTTCTGTTTAACCCCGCAGCCACCCCCTCATTGGGAAATAACTCATACAGAGACGCGGATATTAGGTTCATGTTATTGGGCACATTTGGCCACAATTTTATTAAATTAAATTACAGAATATGAGCGGTATTGGCTTAGGCATTGATTGGACCCGACTATATCTGACTCAGATATACGCAGGTGGCACTGTGGGTTAAACCACAGAGCCTAGGACTTGCCGATCAGAAGGTCGGCGGTTCAAATTGCTGCGACGGGGTGAGCTCCCGTTGCTTGGTCCTGGCTCCTGCCAACCTAGCAGTTCGAAAGCACAAAGTGCAAGTAGATAAAATAGGTACCACTCCGGCAGGAAGGTAAACGGCGTTTCCGTGCACTGCTCTGGTTCGCCAGAAGCGGCTTAGTCATGCTGGCCACATGACCTGGAAGCTGTCTACGGACAAACGCCGGCTCCCTCGGCCAATAAAGCGAGATGAGCGCTGCAACCCCAGAGTCGGTCACGACTGGACCTAAAGGTCAGGGGTCCCTTTACCTTTTTATATCTGACTCCTGCCCAGTGTGCAAGAAGTCCGGTAAGGGTAAACCACCGGTAGGGTAAACCATTGTCGATGCAAACCAACTCAAGCTCCCCCTGGTGTTCCCATCGGGGTCATGTCAAGGCTCTAGCCCCCAACCGGGCTTCGGACAAGATCAACACCCCTGGATTCCTTTAATGGAATACCCTTAAGCATGGAGGGGCAGGTGATGGCCACACCTCCCCTCCCCCACACCAGTCCTCTGCCTCGCTCCTCAGTTTAAACGCCCCCGGCCACGCCCCCCGGCCAGCGGATTGGCTGGCCGGGCTCTGACAGGGCCGGGATTCCCGGGCAAAGGGGGACAAAGTCCCCCGCCCCCGGTGGGGAGGGGGTGACCACTCTGTCCACCACAACTGCTCCCCACTGGGAAGTGGAGCGGATTTACTCAACTTCTGTTTACTTCTGTTACTTACTTTAACTTAAACGTAAACTTACTTAACTTAAACTTTAACTTCTGTTTAACTTACTCAAGAAAACTGCTTCTAATCTCTTTGCAACACAGCTCAACATCTCAGTGGCGTAGCTAGGCGCTTGGGCTCCCGGGCCGACACATGCTGCCATTTTGGGCAGCACGGAGCCTGCAGGTGCCCAAGCCACCGAGTCACTTCCAGGAGAGGTGCATGGCTCAGGCACCTGCAGGCCCCACGGTAAGTGCCGCCCCCATCTATGCCTCTGCAACATCTTTCTGTTCAGCTGAGTTTAACCAGACTGCAGCATATTAAACAATATTTCTAATGATTTACATCTTTTTATAAACAGTATGGCTAATGCATGTTAATTTGGATCTAAAATTAAATGCTGGCAATTATATTAAAGAAGGAAAAGCAGATGCGAAGGAAACCGATGAACACTTCTTATTCGTTCTGGGCAAAGCCCATTGCTGAAATCAACGCCATTCAATACGTTTCAGCTAAGCTGCATGTTTGCAATTGTGAACATGTGCGTTGTCTGAATTTGTGTTCCAAAAAAACTTCCTGTTTCAGGAGCTTGTCTAGTTAGCATAAACATTGAATAAGAAGAAAACCTGCACCTGGCAACTTTTGACCATGTGATGAAATAAAATGCATGCTTTAAGATAAACAGGAAAAATAAAGGTGGCATGATTGCCTTTTCAAATATGGATCTAGCCCACAGCTGCTGTGTATTGTGGTTATGGGGATAAAAATCAATGATTTTAAAAAAATAATAATTTAAAAATCGGATTTTTTTTTTTTATTTAAATCGGATTTTATTGATTTAAATCAGATTTTTTTATTTAAATCGGATTTTTAAAATAAAATGCTTTTGGAAGAAAAATCTTTCTAAAGATAGTTTTCTATTTAAGTTACATTATAGTCCAAAGGCTATTCATCAGGAAATAAGGATTTGTTTTAAGTTTTTCATGTGTGCTAAAACTCAGTCTAAGTTTTGTTTTTATTTAAATCGTTTAACCATATCAGTTAACAAACATGGATACATATGCTATAATGTTGTTTTAGTTAAATTGTTTAAATTGTTATTAAGCTAATGATTATTTTTCTCCTTCCAATAAAGTACAGCAGAAAAGTTGACAATAATTTCATAATTACCTGCCTTTGTATTTCTAATTGTGTAACCAAATCAGTAATTTTTTATATAACTTTAAAAACTACTCTGAAAATTTATTATTCCAAATATGAAACCTTCATCTGGTTGCAAATATTAAGATTATACCAGCAAGAATGAACCTTTCTGTAAAAAAATGATTTAAATCAAGTCTTACTGACTAGTGATTTAAATCATGATTTAAATCGATTTGATTTAAATCAAATCCACCCTGATTGTGGTGCTCTTCCCCAAGCTCAAAGCTTGTATTACACATACAAATGTGGTCCAGATTTTCTGTTCTTTAATAACTTCTTCCCCAACATTCCATGCTTCAGTTCCTTTGCCCTTCCCTGCAAACCAACCCACCAACCTAAGGCCACTTACAATTGTTTTTATCTGACACAAGTTCATCCGCACATCAAGCTCCCAGCATTGATCATCCATAAGTGGCAAAAGGTGAACAAAAATCACCAGCATATTGTCCAACCAGTCGGTAGTTTGGAATAAACATTCATGTCCTATTCCCAGAACTTTTCAAAACTTGACCACGCCAACAGTTGTGTTTCTACCTACGCAGTCTTCATTCATGCATGAAATGGGCTTGTATACCACATATATACACTGCCAAGAGAACTTTACCTGTTTTGTTGGAGATTTTCACAAAGCTGGTTTTTTTCTTTGTAGTGAAGAGTTGTCTGCTTGTGTTCTGTTGCATGACAGGAAGTCTAAGAAAAATCGAGTAATGTATAGTTATAACTCCAGTAGGAAAACCACAGAATATGTCTGCCCCCCCAAAAAAAATTGCTGCCGTGAAGCGTAAGACACTTTACCTTTTCAGTAGCGGCTGAAATATTTTTGCCAAGTCTGCTGGGAGAAGGTCTTATATGTGGTGGCGATTTCTTGATTTCCTTGGCACTTGAATGGCTCCTTCCTCCACTGGAACTAGTAATGATTAAAAAGAGGACTATTTTCAAAGGGATTTTTTTTTAAAAAAAGAAGAATATTTTTTTCTGTTTGCAGACATTTCTAACCCATTATAGAAATCTCTTCTAATTCTCCTGCAGTTGTTATTCCTGTGTGATTACTCCTATGAAATTTTAAATGTGCCATTTCCATTAGCTGAAATCCGTTACTGCATCTGTTTTACTTAAGTGTGTGTTTGGGGCATGGACATTTATTGGATGTCCATTACCCATAGAAGAATGGCAAAGACTTCTAAACTTGTGATTTCTAACAGCAATTTTTTAAAAATGAAATACTTTTTTAGATTAGAAGGAAAGATAACTATTTTTACATTTTAGAGCACTAGAACTTAGACTTTCCAGGTTGGCAGATACTGGCATCTACCTTACAATCAATTTAAAAAATAAAATAAAATTTGAATCGCCTGTGTTATGTTGTATCTGGTATGATTTATAAAGTTTCTGGGCCCATACTCTCAGATGGTACCTATGCCTTTAACTAAAGATGTGGTCCACTCCAGATGTTGTTCAACTACAACTCCCATAATCTCTGACCACAGGTTATCCCCACTGGGCCTGATGGGAGTTGGAATTCAACAAAATCTGAAGGGCCACAGCTTCCCCATCCCTGATTTAACTTCTCCAAGGCACCAAATGAGGACCCAAATGAGGACTGTCAAGAGCAGGCTTCCTTAACCTCGGCCTGTTTTGAGACTACAATTTCCACCATCCCTGACCACTGGTCCCGCTAGCTAGGGATCATGGGAGTTGTAGGCCAAAAACATCTGTAGGGCCAAGGTTGAGGAAGCCTGGTCAAGAGTTATCCTTCTACCACTTTCCCACAGCTCTTAGCCATTCCTCCACTGCCTGGGTCTAAAAGGAGCGAGAGGCTCCAGCTTCTGTCTCACTGGTTTGGAACACTGAAAATACAGGTGCCATCTCTGGGTTAGGACCTCAGAAGTCTCAGGAAGGACCTGAATGGTCTGTGGTTCATCTCTCTGGTTTCTGCATTCTGGTTAGGAACTGTGTTGCCTCCTGCTCCTACTTCCTCGGCTCTCTCTGTGCTGCAACCTTGCCAGCCATTCTGGGAGCCTGCTAATGTTTAGGCAAGAAACCAAGCAAATGGAGGGCAATCATCCATATTTCTGATAACCAGATGGGCTTCCTTGATCCAGCAACTACCCACAGGCCTCTCTCTGGCTTGTGACAATGTGCCACCCCCATACGCAGTCTCTGGCAATTGCTGTAAATCTAAGGACAACCTATCCTTTTTGCTTCTCTTGACTCATGGGACTAGGTTGCCAGCATATAAATGTAGGGGGAAAGGTGGTGGTGTTTAGACAGCCAGTGGAAATACAGATCCCTTATTGTGTTCACATGTGTTAAGTACTTCCTCCGCCATTCGATGCTGCCTGTGTTAAGAGACAAGGAAGAGAAGAGATTTTACAGGAGATGTTTATGATGATATCTCCTGCCAACCTTGCAGTTCGAAAGCACGCCAGTGCAAGTAGATAAATAGGTACCGCTCTGGCGGGAAGGTAAACCGCATTTCCGTGCACTGCTCTGGTTTGCCAGAAGTGGCTTAGTCATGCTGGCCACATGACCCGGAAGCTGTACGCCGGCTCCCTCAGCCAATAAAGCGAGATGAGCGCCGCAACCCCAGAGTCAGCCACAACTGGACCTAATGGTCAGGGGTCCCTTTACCTTTTTTTATGATGATATAGAGTTGGAAGGGACCCTGAGGATCATCTTGCAATGCAGGAATATATGCAGTTATCCCTTATGGGGATCGAACCTGCAACCTTGGCATTATCAGCACTCTAACCAACTAATCTAATCCACGAGGAAGCAAATGCTGGTGTTCCAATAACACTACTAGCTATCGAGGCAGTGAATAACTATCATATGCCATACACTTCGCTATCTCTTGTGGGATGTGAGGATATTTGTACAACAATCAGAAATGCGTGCTCCGCATTCCCATCACCAAAACAAAACAAAAACCCGAGTAAATGGTACCTCTCCTAATTACAATTTGCATTAACTTGCACTTTAACGACAGGATACTAAAACGTGATGTCACAGGGTGCAAAATTCAATTACGGAATTCTCTGCCCAAAGACATTTTGATGGTCACTAGCTTAGAAGTGGCTTTAATATGAGATAAAAGAAATTCACAAAGGATATGGCTATCAGTGACTATCTGCGAAGTTAAGTGCAGTATACTTAACATAAAGTATACTCCATGTTCACATGCAGTATGCTGGGGGAACAATCAATCCGGGAGGGCTGTTCCCTTCACATCCTTGTAGACTTCCTGGAGGCATCTACTCAGCCACTGTGGGACTGGATTAGACCCTTGGTCTGATCCAGCACAGCTGTTCTTCCCTACTTATATTCTTTTACTTTACTAGCCCTTTTGAGTCTTGAACCCTATATTGCAGTTTGCTACTTGAAATAAACGTCGGCTCGCCGTTCTCATGCAGTTTGTGGTCGCAGGCTGAATTTAGAGCAGCTACGCACACAGAAAATGGCAGCAAGATTTAGGTCAGTATATATACCCTCCCCCACTCCTACACTTTGAAAAGCAACCATGGAACAAAAATCGTCACACCAACAAAAGTTCACAACGCTGGTGGATTGAAAACAACCTGGGGTGAAGCAGCACCAGCGGGCAGCTGCTTATTTGAAAGCTAACAAGGTGTGATAGTGTCTTACCTGAATTATAAACCAGGGGGTTCACCCACCCCCTCAAAAAACACACTCACACACAATCCGGTATGTGTCTACTCAGAAGTAAGCCCCATTGTACTACATGAAACTTACTCCCAGGTATATTCGATTGCAGACTTTGCTATCTATATCCCTGTTCCAAAACAAGCATGGTACCTAAACAACAACATACGCACGTTCAAGTGCGATGTCAGAATGATATCACATTTATTTTGAACTATAAGCTAATAATGCAGTGTATGTCTTATATATCGATCAGTTCATCTTGATACCGGCTTATATCCATGACATATTTTACATAAAGGGGCCATATTTGAGATTTTGCCACAGTATTGGTTTGCGGCAGAAGGAAAGCAAACTTGTAACAGCTATTTGCATAGACGTGGAAAAATAAATTTAAAACGTTGTGGGGGGGGGGGGAGATGCATTCTAGCCTAGCTCTTTCCCTGAACTTCATCAACCAGCCGCCCATCTGCATGCATCGTTTCATTAAACAGCGACGCGTTTGCATGCGCAGAGCCGACTGCTTCCAGAACGAGAAAAGGGGAGAGAGATCCTTACGTTACCATTCCTTTTCCTTCGAGGATCTCATGGGCCGGAGCTTCGTTTTGCAGGCTCCCTGCGCGCAGCGGAAAGGGATACTCTCGGATGCCCGGTCCCATTATAGGCGAATGGCTGCTTTGGGGTTGTCGTTGCGGTTGCTTTTACATCGGCTGATGCGCGATCCTACACCTTGCAGAATCAGATCCTCTCTCCAGCATCCTTTGGTGCGCCCAAGGCAGAGCAAGGAAGCGAAGGGACGCGGGGTCTCTCTCTCTCCACTTCGCAGCCTCCGGTTGCTGCAGTAAACAAACCCCATGCATCCCTCCCAGGCGCTCTCTCCGTCTGTCTCTCCACGTGACTTCCCTTATCATATCAGTGAGATTTAATCAGCCTTCTCTCCCCGGTGGTATCAGAGTCCGCGGCGCGCGCGCACACACACATCAACCCGGACTTTGCACAAGAGGCAGCTGCATTATTTATCTAGCCGCGTCTGCAGATCCTTGCAAAGCCGTCCACCGCCGGAATATGGAAGCAAAGCATTCCCCCCCTCCAAAAAAACCCCCCAGTGCTGGTTAGGTGGGCCATTGAAGTCGCAAGGCATTGTGGTCTCCCGGAGGGACTTCCCTGTGCGCAGGGAAGAGACCATCAATGACTGGAGGGATGCAAAAATCCTATCCTTGATTTATTATTCTTTTGCGATCGTCCGGAAGGAGATGACATGAGAAAGGGTCTGAGACCTGGAGAGCCCCATCCCAAGGGAAGAGGGGAGAAAACAGTTTTGGAAAGGCAAATAATAATAATAATAATTATACCCCGCCCATCTGGCTGGACTTCCCCAGCCATTCTGGGCGGCTTCCAACAAAATATTAAAATACAGTAATCCATCAAACATTAAAAGCTTCCCTAAACAGGGCTGCCTTCAGATGTCTCTATTATTATTATTATTATTAATGTATTAAATTTGTATACCACCCGCAGGTCTCCGAAAGCGTGATGGCATCAAGGCAGCCACATCCCTGGTTTCTGCTTGTGAACCAAAATAAAACCACTTTCTTCTCATCCTGGAGCCTACCTGTAAATTGTTGGTAAAGCTTCAGGAGAATGAGTTGGGTGGGTGTGTCGGTGTTGCAGGAGCAGGGAAACCCCCCCCCCCCGGGTGAAGATACACCCGCCTCCATGTGAACAGCAGTGTGCTGAGAAACGGCACCACTGCATTTTAAGGTACTAATGTGAACATACCCTAAGAGTTATGGAGAGCTCAAAACCTTTCAGGCTCTTTTGAGACCTTTTAGGTAAAGGTAAAGGGACCCCTGACCATTAGGTCCAGTCGTGGCCGACTCTGGGGTTGCGGCGCTCATCTCGCTTTACTGGCCGAGGGAGCCAAATAAAACCAAGAAGGTTAAAAGGCTTTTTAGTAGAGGGAAAAATAAAGATATCCAGCTTCCGGGTCATGTGGCCAGCATGACTAAGCCGCTTCTGGTGAACCAGAGCAGCACTCAGAAATGCCATTTACCTTCCCGCCGGAGCGGTACCTATTTATCTACTTGCACTTTGACGTGCTTTTGAACTGCTAGGTTGGCAGGAGCTGGGACTGAGCAACGGGAGCTCACTCCGTTGCGGGGATTCGAACCACCGACCTTCTGATGCATTGCTCCAGTCCAAATTCTGTAATTGTTCATTGCATTTTTATGCTTCCTTTCTCCTCCACGGGCAGGGTGTCCATTCCTCTGAGTGAAGGACAAGCTTCCTCAGAGGTTTCTAAGCAGAGGTTGGGTGGCCATCTGTCATGGATGCATTATCTGAGATTCCTGCATTGCAGGAGGTTGGACTGGATTTGACCCTTGGGGTCCTCTCCAACTATACAGGATGTAGTCCCAAGTCTGGTTTAAATATGGGCCTTTTAGCGATGGGCAGGAACAGCCTTGAATATACCCACCCACACTTAGCATCTGGTCGGCTGACTGTAATGTCAGTTCCACCCTCCTCAGTCATTTTCTAGGGGGGGGGGACACAACTATTCCACTCGTTTCCTTACTGAAAGATTAAGCAAGAACATATTTTGTTTTGGAAAAACTTGCTCCATGCCAAAGTGCCAGGCGACTCTTAACCATTATTGGGGGTATGTTGGGCCAAATAAAACCAAGAAGGTTAAAGGGCTTTTTAGTAGAGGGAAAAATTAAGATATCCACTTGGTGGCAGCAGCGAACCTAAACAAGAAGGGGCGGGTTGGTTTTCTTGTTAGGAACCGAGCGATTGCTTTTAAGAAACGAAATAATAATAATAATAATAATAATAATAGCCACTGATGCTACAATGTCAAAGGTAAACCAGGGAGAATAGGCAACACAAGTAGGAGGTTAGCTGACCGACGGTGCATTCCGAAGGATGTTTCCTGGTAAATAAGTCCGTTGAGCTAAATAGGGCACAATCCCAGGCAAGGGATTCCGAGGATGGGGCACGTGCAGCCCTGTGGTTGCCCTTCGACTCCAATTCCCATCAGCCACGGCCAACGACCAGGGATGATGGGGGTTGTAGTGCAAGCAAATGCCGAGAAGCTCCCATCCGCACCTACTCAAAGCACAAGGTGGAGGTGGCGGCGATGGAGTTTCCCTTTCAGTTTTCTGGGCATTCGCGCCCCAGGACAGACATGCACGTCCACCGCCACAGGACCCTCGTCTCCGCATTTCGTTGCCACTGGCTCCACCCAAGACTTCCACGTTCTCATGCGTGAGAAAGGATGGATTACTCTCGGGCGTGCTTGCTGGGGCTTGATGGGAGTGGTAGTCCAAAACGCCTTGCTGCCGTGCATCCTGATCTCACGACCCCAGGCTCGTGTTCCGTTTGCCAGCCAATGCAATTTTTGTTTTGCAAAATGTACCTCTCCAGCTATTTCCCCTCCTTTGTTCCACCTTGTTTTTCCCCTTTACGCTTCCTCTCTGTGCGGTGCATGCTTCACCCCACTATTCCCCGTGCTGCTTTTGCTTTTGCTTTCTTGCATTTTTGACTCCCATTCCCTCCCCGCCTCCCAGGGAGTATGGGCAGGAGGAAGGGCACTGTCGGCTTCCCTCGCTGCTCGCGCGCAGCCGCGGGCCGATTCCCTGCGCGCACGCGGAGCCGCGGGGCGGGCACCCGGACGAGCGGCGTGGCCGCAGCAGCTGCCAATTGCAATGTCCGGGCGGGCCCTAGCGTCACAGAGGGCGTGCTCCCGCTTCACCCCGGTTGCAAAGCGGCCACATCTCTCTCTCTTTCCCCCTTTTTTACGTCGAAATCAGCTGGGCGGCCGCAGGGAGCGACAAGATCCGCTAGCAACCGCCTGCCTGCCTGCGTCGCTTGGAGAGCAGCTCGCTGGCCGTGCGCGCCTGCCTGGTGCGGAGCGAAAACCTGCCGACCCCAGTGCAATCCACGCCAGGGGCGCGCGGGGCCGGGGACAGCCAGCGCGCAGTTGGATGTGGGGTCCAGAGTCGCCAAACGCGGACTCCGCCTCCAGCCGGAGCCCCCATCCATCTTCCAGCAGCAACGCCATCCCAGCCGACAGCCTCCAGGCTCCCATCGCTGGAGGAGGCGGCCTGCAGACTCCCTCCAGCTTGTCCGACAGCCTCGACTCCCTTTCCCCGAAGCCCAACAGCCTCCAAGCCCCTTCCAGCCCAGGGAGCGCTCTGGGTTCCTCCAGTATCCAGAGCGACAGCCTCGATTCCCTGTCCGGCTACCCAGACAGTTTGGCATCTTTCAGCTTCCTGCAAGACAGCCTCAACCAGGGTGACAGCCTCGACTCTCTCAACCTCTACCGCAGCAGCCTCCGGCCTGTCTTCAGCCTCTGCGACAGCCTCGACACGTCCAGCGTCCAGAGAGACAGCCTCCAGTCGGTGACCAGCGTTTGCGACAGCACCCAGGCCTCCAGCATCCAGTGCGACAGCCTCGACTCGCCCTGCAGCCTGTGCGACAGCCTCGAGACGCCTGTCACTCAGCATCATTGCCCTGGGTCCTTCAGCGTCTGAAGGCTTCCTATCACTAAGTGCCACCTCCCCAGAAGCCGCTAATTGCTCCTTAAAAAGCAACCACTGGGCCCTGCCGATCAGTGTGTCTCTCTGCCTGGAGCCTTCTCCATGTCTCGGGAGAAGCTGTCGGCAGGAGGGTCGCTGCCTGCTCAAGCAGCTCGGCCGCCCGAGCACATGGTGCCAAGGGCCCCTCGGAGGACTCCCAGCTACCTCTCTGACCTCTACCAGAACATGCTGCGGGAAGAAGAGGCCCGGAACACAGAGAGGAGGCGGTACCAGCATGGCGGCAGCACCACCAGTCTCCCAAGTGTCTCCATCTCCGAGGAGACGCAGCAGAAGCATCCTCAGAGCGCCACGGTAGCAAGCTGCGACCCGCACCTTAGGCCCATCATGCGCCGGCGGGCCAGGTCCTTGCCCAGCTCTCCGGAGAGGAGGAGGAGTATGATGGCTCCGTGCCGCGTCCCGGGGTGCAGCACCCGCCGGAACAAAGTCCGCTTTGCCGACGCTCTGGGCCTGGATCTGGCGGAGGTGAAAGTGTTCCAGGTGGGGGAAGATCCCTCCATCCCTCTGCACGTTCTCTCCAGGCTGTCCATCAATTCCGACCTTTGCTGCAGCAGGCTGGACCTGGAGTTCACCATGCAGTGCCTGGTGCCTGACTTCCAGCAGCCTGCGGACTGCGAGGACTTCCACAGCCGCCTGCAGCGGCAGCTGGTGTGCCTTGAGAGGGTGACCAGCTCAGATCTGGGTCTGAACGGCACCGTCCAAGTGGTGAACCTGGCCTTTGAGAAACAGGTAGCTGTGAGATACACCTTCAACCGTTGGAGGGGTCAGCACGAAGTCAGTGCCCAGTGGCACAGCAGCGTTCCTGGGAAGGAGGGTCAGGCCCAGGCGGATGTCTTCACTTTCTTCCTCCCCGTGGCGCCGTTCCTCCTCCAGCTGAGCTCAGTGGTTGAGTTTGCAGTGCTGTACCGAGTCAACGGGCAGGAGTACTGGGATAACAACCGAGGGAAGAACTTCGCCCTCACCTGTCGGAGTCACGAACTCAAGATGCCCAGGGAATGCGAAGAGAGCTGGATTCACTTCATCTAAGCAAAGCGAGGAGATGGAAAGAGCTGTTTGCAGTTCTCCGGCCCTGTCCTCCTTTGGCATTTCTCTCCTTCCAGAGGCACCAAAGAAACCCTTAGGAACGGCACAGATCCTTCGAAATAAAAGAGTAACAAGTGATCGGCACAAAAGCTATTTATAGAAGAGAGTTAAAAGGATAAAGGGCTATAGCCTACACTGAGTTGTAACCAAATGCTTAAATCACTGCGGAGAAGACGCTGTCAGGAGAGCCAAGCCAATTTCTTTTATTGCTTTGAATCAACTCTTGCAGCAGACTACGAAATATATATTAGGGTATTTTCAATCATACAAATTATTTTTTTTCACTTTTTGACACTGGCTATATTGCACTTCAGTCAATGCACTTTTGCACTTTTTTGTTTTGTAAGTAATGCTCTTGATGCTTTACAGCAGAAAAATGTCTTCACTGGTCCAAGACACTGCAGGGTCTTGGCTGCAAAAGGGATGTTAATAAATACAACTGATGTTTAAATAGAAATATATTTTTACACTGTATTTTATAACGCACACCTGACAGTGTCCCTGTGTTAGGCATTTTTAGTTCCTAAAAAGTTTTATTTGGAAGAGGATCGCTTGTTGCGAAAGAAAGACAAACTGCGGTTTTGGTTTTGCTGGAAAATTCCTCTATTTTAAAGTCGGAACATATTTGTAGGAAGGAACAGCAGCCTATGCAGAGCTGCTTTTTTCCTTGCTTGCTTTATTTCGCAGAACAGTTTTGCACTTTTGTAATATATGCCATCTGAGGATAATGGAATGCTGATCATATCATTATCATGCAGCATTGCTGGAATATAAGATATAGAAATGCGGTTCATCTATACAGCTAAGACAGCCAATATTTGTAAAAGGGAAATAATGCTGAACTTTACAAAAGTAAAACATTCTCTGAAATGCTTAGATAAAACGCGGATAATGACATCGCAGTTGCTGATAAAACGCAATTGAATATTAGGAATGTTTCGATTCAAGATACATGTATGCGCTTAGGCTGCAAGAGGCCTTGGGTTCAAATTCCAAACAAGCCATGGTGTTTCGCCCTTGAATGCAGGATTATTCCCCGACCCTCCCCCCAAGAAAAATTGTCAGAGGGGTGGTTGATCTGGATCAATAAGCATGGGGGGCACAGGAAGATTCTGTCGTCTGTCTGCTGCCATGCTAAGGTTTCAGTCCATCCCAGTGCCTCAAATGCTGCCCATTTGTGTAGTGGGAAACCTTACATATGGGGGCAGAACTCTCTTGGGCTGTACATACATATAAAGCACGTGTCTTCCTCCAAAGAATCCTGGGAACCGTAGCTTGTTAAGGCTGCAGGGAATTGTAGCTCTGTGAAGGAGAAACTACAAATACTAGGCTTCTTTAAGGGAAAGCTGTGAATGGTGTTCAGTCCCATGGGTTCCTTTGGAAAGGTGCTGAGAGAGAACTTCTGTATGCGTTTCCAGTATGACTGAGGATGGAATCTCATGTTCATGTGCCATGTTTCTGCTGCAGTTTATATATGTATGTGTTAGGGCAATTACTGGCCCTGCCATAGGTTTAGGCACCTATCTGTGCTCTTAATAGCAAGCAACTTCGAGAAGCTCGCCATTACAATGCTAATGATGATGATTGAGATAGATCTGCACTTCTGTGCATGGTAGAACTAAGTGTAGCCCTCAGCTGGAGGTGTGGCATGAACATATGAGCCCCAACATTGGAACATGTCATAAATCAAATATCTAATATTAACTAGGCCACACCTGAGCACTGAGTATCAGTGCAAATGATATCTGGGGAAACCAAAACCTCACTCCCCTATTTTGCCTTGTATTGTTGTAGCTGTATTGCTGGATAGCTCAGTCGGTTAGTTCATGGCGCTGATAATGCCAAGGTTTGATCCCCCATAAGGGGCAGCTGTATATTCCTACATTGCAGCGGGTTGGACTAGATCAGGGGTTTCCCAAACTTGGGTCTTTGGCTGCTTTTGGACTACAACTCCCATCATCCCTAGTCAGTGGGACCAGTGGTCAGGGATGATGGGAAGTGTAGTCCGAAAACAGCTGCAGACCCAGGTTTGGGAAACCCTGGACTTGATGATCATTATGGTCCCTTCCAACTCTCTTGATTCTGAATTGGCCACTTGGTCATTCATTTAGCAGTGTTTACACTGACTGGCTCAGGCTCTCCAGGGTTTTGGGCAGGTATTGTCCTAGCTGGGACCATCTGCATGAAAAAGATGGGCTCTGCACTGAGTTTTGGAGCATGTTCACTTTGTTCCTACATGATGAAGGTCCTTGGTTTCAAGTTTCCTGTATTTTGGAATGGGCCTGGGCCTTGGGAAACCTGAGGGCAGCTATATGGGAGTGCATTCCCGGCATGCATAACCTGTGCCTCATGGAGGCTGGAAGAGATCCCAGAGACCCAGAGTAGAAACTCATCTCAGCTGTACATTTGCTTCCATGCGGGAGGTTTTCTCAAGGGGCCATCTTTCAGATATCGGAGCTCCTTTGAAGGGTCTGGCTGGCATTAAAGGAGCATGGAGTAGTGGAAAATCTATTCCTTATTGGTGACTAAGCCAACAAGCACGTTCGTTTGTCTTGTTTATTAAGTAAGCAGTAAGCAGGTTGTGGAGATTTTAACCAAATCTAATGGAGTTTCCCTGTTGAGTTCGGTAGAAGTTCAGCAAACTCACCACGTATGGGTCCTTATGCGAACATCATCCCTGTAGAGAAGAAGCTTGGGGGAAGCCTGAGGTTTACAGAAGTACTAAAATCTTTATGGAAAAAACCGACAGTGGGAGGGGAAACACAGACCACTGACAACTGAGCATCCTCTGTGAGCATAAAATGCTGACCAATAGTTGGTTTTTAAAACAAAAACAAAAAGTGTGGGATGAAGCAGAACGGAATGGAATAGATCATATCCTAGAAGAGGACCTGGCTGGCTGGTGCCCTGACCTGGAGCAATCCACAGTGGAACATATTTTGTTGCAGGTTTCACCAGCACACCCCAAGTATGCAAAAAATATAACAAGATGTCCATATGGTATTGTGATTGCAAAAGGTTTTCTGCTTTAAGTGTTGGCTGCTGGGTATTTTTAAAAGCACGATTGCCTATCCAAGCTCTTGAAAGAGGGTTGTCACATTAGCAGGGAAGTTGTACTGTTGTAAGATCCAAACACACTGTGCTGTGACTGTTGGCTGGATGATTGCTTACTGTGGGGTCTGCATGACCACAACACCAATCCTTGTACCATTCCGTGCAACACTATGCTGTGTTTGGGGAAGTTGGGTGTCCTTGCAGCCTTTTTTTGTTTTACTCCCCTTGTTATCAGAGCCTCAGAACATAGAAGGGCTGTCCAGGACCAAAGGAGTAAACCAGGGCTGGTGCAGTAAATAAGAACATGTGGGTTACATTCCTGTATCATGTAGTCCAGAGTTTTGTTCCCTTCAGCCTAATGCCTCTGGAAGCTAAAACTCATAAGCATGGCATGAAGGTCATAGTTATCATCCCCTGTTGTTGTCTCCAGCACTTCGTACTCAAAAAGGAGTATATTGCTTCTGGGTGCAGTCCTTTCAATTAATAGCGCTCAACAAAATTGCACTTCTGTACTTTAAAAATAAAGATTGGTGCCATGACAGAGACCCTGGGGAAAATTAAGAAGCCAGGGGAGCACAGTTTGGTTTCCCATGCCAACTAAGCTCACATGGTCTTGTAGACCTTTACAAAGATGTCTTTGGAAACTCCTAAATGCCAGGGTTCATCGCGAAATGGTGTGTTTGCATGCCATGCAAAAGGGAGGAAAAGTCACCTCAGGGTGATTTTTACTATGCAAAATATAAATTTATTTATAAATATATAAATTTATTTATAAATATATAAATTTTGCATAGTAAAATGTATATTTCTTAAGTAGGAGTCTCTAGAAGTTTGTGCATGATTTCTGTGTGGTTTCTTTCTTAGGGAATAATTTCTTCTACCTGGTTAGGAGGAAAGAGTTAACTGAGTAGCACAACTTCTGGGGCTTACAGAATATGGGGGAGGCATTGCATTCCCCCCCCCCACTGTGATGTGTAAATGGGGAAAGCAAGAGCAAAAACTTTACTGAACTACTTGATTATAAAGTTGCAATCCTAGGCACACTTACCCGAGAGTAAGTCCCATTACTCAACGGGACATGCTTCTGAGTTGGCATGTATAGGACTGTGCTGTAAAAGGCTCAGAAATGTACTTGCATATGTTACATCAGTTGCAACCCAGTATCCATTGAACATTCTTCACGATTTATTTACACAAATTTAATAGGGAGGTTGTATAACATTGGCTGTTTCCGGAGCATTCTGTTTTGGGTTTATATGACATTTTGACAAGCAGTTGTTATCCCACACTTCTCAGGGCATTGCTTTCCTTACTGCAAAAGATCTGATTTGGAGGAGGTGATTGGGTTTGTTGTGCAAAAGTGCCAGATCACTTCTTATTGTGCCACCTGAATTTGCTAGTATACCACTGAATTGCACCAACAGCCTGGAAAGAAAAAGAACAAGGTGATTTGTGCAAATGTCTTCTGTTTGGGTGGCCACTGCTGTTTTTACAAATTAATTTTCCTGATACATGCTGAGCTGTATTTTATTTTATATAGGGCAGCAAAGGTGCATCAAGGAAAAGCACGGAAGACAAATATTCTCTGAGAAACAGGGATCTAAAGCAGTGCTAAAAAAATCCCATTGCAGTGTACGCGCTGCTAACTGCCTCTATTAGGGGCTGAACCTCTGCCAAATGGTGGCATATGTCACCCTAGTGTTAGTGGAGGCTTCGGACTGCATTAACACTGCCAGAATATGCTAAGCCAAGATTCTGTTTAAAGGTTAGGTCAGGTATTTTGCACTGGCTAAGGGGAGAGTGACACAAGAAATGTGGCTTAAGTCTGCAGGGAGAAGAATTTGCTCATGCAAAGTCCCATAATTAAGGCCTCTAATATGCAAGTCATA